TGGCGGTGCTTTTTTTTAGCACCTAAGCCTGCCAGCACTAAAACATCATCTGATGCATTTGTACCACCTTTGTGCATACCGCGCACGGCCGCTTACCTCCAGTAGTACAGCTTCGTTTGTCAGGTCAGAGCGACCGCAGGTGACATCCTGGAAATTGGCACCGCCCGTCAGGTCAACATTTGAGGAGCCTGTGAGCAAGTGAAGAAAACAATAACAAAGAAACTACTGACTTGGCTAGTCAACAAGATGGAAAGTTAGAGAGCCGAATCAACACAGTGGCCGCATTCCTCTGCGCATGGGCTTTGGCAGAATAGAACTTGGACCGAATAGAAGGCTGGCTCGATGATCAGTTCATGCAGCTATCAGCAATGCTTTTGTACGTAAACTGTCACTATACTGTTAACATGTACAAGTAATTTTAGGTGCATTAAAATTTCGGTGCCAGAGACCTGCCAGGTTTCAGGTGTAAAAATAGAATTAGGTGACCAGTGTTCCTTGCACATACAGTGCATACTCTAGTGCCTCTTAGGTGTAATTTAAATTTTTAAATGTAGGTGCCTGGTTTCTCTACCGAAATCACCGAAATTAAAGTTACACCGAAAATTACATGTTTTACAGTATTAACATTTATTTTAGTGGAAGCAGCTGCAGCTCTGGGGGGGGGGGGGGGGGGTCCAGAAAGTAGAGTTAGTCATGATTGTAACGACACATCACCACTAATTATGAACAGAAAAGAAGAAGAAACAATGATGCCCTCTGGACCATCTCGCCATCACCAGCATGCCACGATTGCCTATTGGCCACAAAAAAAGGGTGGCGGTGATGGATACAAAACCGGGCACAAAAAAAAGAAGACTTGGGATGGGCAAGCATGTAGAAACTGCAGCAGATGAAGCCACTCAGCAGTCTGCACTGCAGAGCTACTGAGTATTGACTGCATGCTGGGAGCATCTTGCTACACGAGCAGCACACACAACTCACCACCACCACCACCACTGGTGCCACTAGACTGCCCGCTTGGGCTATTGCCACCGGAGTGCCCGACAGCACAGTGCTGAGGTTGTGCGGAGCTGCTTCCCGTGCCGGCCTTGTCGCCTCCCTCGCCCACACCCATCCTATGCGCGCGCACACACTGGCGAGAGCACTGCACCCCACGTGCCAAGTGAAGAAAAAAGGCTGGGATCCGATGCTCAGGGGATTACATACACATGCGTAAAAAAGTGGGGTGACTACATGGTATGGGAATGGGGAAAAGAAGGGTGGACAGAGCAATGCACAGGTGAGCATATGGACTAGCCAGACACCAGCCCCCCCCCCCCCCCCCCAAACAAACAGAGTAAGAAAGGAACGAAAACCCCATAAAGACAGTAATAACGCGTTGCCGTGCAGTATGCCTCAAGTAAGCTGATTGGACCCCCCCCCCTCAACTAGTAAAGCATGCCCAACGAACAGTGTACAAAACGCCTATCCAAATACGACATCTCTATTAAACATCGAAAGAAAACCTACGTGCACGCGATTTTGCACACCAGAACTTACAACCGTCTCCGGGCTACAAATTCGGTGAAAGCCAAGATATGGGACAGCCCTGACACGTATTATATATGGGGGTGATCGGCCTGAGCAAATATTTTTTAAAACCATTTTCAGTTTGACCATAAAGATCCTAGTCGACAGCACAGTGCTGAGGTTGTGCGGAGCTGCTTCCTGTGCCGGCCTTGTCACCTCCCTCGCCCACACCCATCCTATGCGCGCGCGCACACACTGGCGAGAGCACTGCAGCCCCACGTGCCAAGTGAAGAAAAAAGGCTGGGATCCGATGCTCAGGGGATTACATACACATGCGTAAAAAAGTGGGGTGACTACATGGTATGGGAATGGGGAAAAGAAGGGTGGACAGAGCAATGCACAGGTGAGCATATGGACTAGCCAGACACCAGCCCCCCAAAACAAACAGAGCAAGAAAGGCACGAAAACCCCATAAAGACAGTAATCACGCGTTGCCGTGCAGTATGCCTCAAGTAAGCTGATTGGACCCCCCCCCCCCTCAACTAGTAAAGCATGCCCAACGAACAGTGTACAAAACGCCTATCCAAATACGACATCTCTATTAAACATCGAATAAAAACTCACGTGCACGCGATTTTGCACACCAGAACTTACAACCGTCTCCGGGCTACAAATTCGGTGAAAGCCAAGATATGGGACAGCCCTGACACGTATTATATATGGGGGTGATCGGCCTGAGCAAATATTTTAACCATTTTCAGTTTGACCATAAAGATCCTAGTCGACAGCACAGTGCTGAGGTTGTGCGGAGCTGCTTCCTGTGCCGGCCTTGTCACCTCCCTCGCCCACACCCATCCTATGCGCGCGCACCCACTGGCGAGAGCACTGCAGCCCCACGTGCCAAGTGAAGAAAAAAGGCTGGGATCCGATGCTCAGGGGATTACATACACATGCGTAAAAAAGTAAAAAAGTGGGGTGACTACATGGTATGGGAATGGGGAAAAGAAGGGTGGACAGAGCAATGCACAGGTGAGCATATGGACTAGCCAGACACCAGCCCCCCCAAAACAAACAGAGCAAGAAAGGAACGAAAACCCCATAAAGACAGTAATCACGCGTTGCCGTGCAGTATGCCTCAAGTAAGCTGATTGGACCCCCCCCCCCCCCTCAACTAGTAAAGCATGCCCAACGAACAGTGTACAAAACGCCTACCCAAATACGACATCTCTAACATCGAAAGAAAATCCACGTGCACGCGATTTTGCACACCAGAACTTACAACCGTCTCCGGGCTACAAATTCGGTGAAAGCCAAGATATGGGACAGCCCTGACAAGTATTATATATGGGTAGGCACTTCACCCCATTTTTTGAAATCGCGTTTTTTCCAGGTTTATCATCGGTAATCGATGGTGGTGGGTATCACAAGGTCACACAGAAAATTTTATTGAAATCCACAGTGATACCACTCAGATATGAAGGGTTGAAGATAGGCAGTTGCATAAGGCGAAACCAATACAATTTGTGGCACCAACAGCATCTCCGAAGTATCATCAGTGGATATAGTCACAAAACATCAGAGTGTTTTTTTCAAGCACACATCACTCACTTACACCAACAACCCTGTATGGATCGAAACAATACAGATCAAAGTTCAGAATAGGCAAGAATACGGCAATTGTGACCGCAATCACTATAGCAACTCCATAGCAACCCATAGCAACGCCATAGTAACCCATAGTAACAGCTTCAGTTTGCTGTGAAATGAACTGATAACGACATACTGGCAGGCTCCTGCGGGTACTAAAGCGTAAGAGCTATAAAGACATTCTTCTGGCACAAAAACAACAGAGAACTTCCTCGTTGTACGCCGTACACCGCAACGTGGAGGGTAAGTACGCGCGCGTGCGCGCGCGCGAATTACTGCACAGGACATTCGTGCCCACAGTCATGCCATCTCAAGTGATTCCAAGTTGGCAAGAAGTTCCTCAGGACCTCTGTTGGTAGCTTCTTTCCCTGGTGTGATATCTGCCTCCCTCTCCTTCAACTGCTCCATGCAGCAATCATGAATTGCCTGCTGGTGAGCTTTGAAATTTTGGCGAAGCGTGCCTGGCTGCGTATATCAAAGCATCCCCTCATCAGAGGGTTTCTCCAGCTGCCACTGTGCCTTTTGATTGTTCGTAAACATCAGTAGGCCTTTCAGCGCAACCGTGCCAAAACTTGGCTTTCAGTACGCTTTGAGAATTCGCCCAGGTAGGACGACGCATCGTCGTTCTCCTCCGCCTAAAGCGCATACTTCTCAGTGCCTACGTACATAATGTCTCCTTGCGCAGCGATGCGCAAGCCCTGGCAAACAAGAACTCTACTGTTTCCGAATGGAAAGACGACGCTGAAGACGATAAGCAGCGTTTCAAACGCGAGCAAACAACAGTTCTTTGTGAAAAAACTCTTTGCTGGTAACGTACGTGATCTACAACTCGCAAAAATGTACGCACTATGACGTATGCGGGATCTACTGAAAGCTGAACGTCAGAGCAACACGATGCGCCCAACTATCAGCCCGTACAACGAAGCATAGCGCGTACCTGTACAGTTTTGCGCATGCACTTGACTGGTGCCACGCAAGTACGCACTCTCACCTTAGCAAATTTTGACAGGTCCTGTCACGTGACTGAAGTGCCTAATATGGGGGTGATCGGCCTGAGCAAATATTTTTTAAAACCATTTTCAGTTTGACCATAAAGATCCTAGTCGACAGCACAGTGCTGAGGTTGCGCAGAGCTGCTTCCTGTGCCGGCCTTGTCACCTCCCTCGCCCACACCCATCCTATGCGCGCGCGCACACACTGGCGAGAGCACTGCAGCCCCACGTGCCAAGTGAAGAAAAAAGGCTGGGATCCGATGCTCAGGGGATTACATACACATGCGTAAAAAAGTAAAAAAGTGGGGCGACTACATGGTATGGGAATGGGGAAAAGAAGGGTGGACAGAGCAATGCACAGGTGAGCATATGGACTAGCCAGACACCAGCCTCCCAAAACAAACAGAGCAAGAAAGGAACGAAAACCCCATAAAGACAGTAATCACGCGTTGCCGTGCAGTATGCCTCAAGTAAGCTGATTGCACCCCCCCCCCCCCCCCCCCTCAACTAGTAAAGCATGCCCAACGAACAGTGTACAAAACGCCTATCCAAATACGACATCTCTAACATCGAAAGAAAATCCACGTGCACGCGATTTTGCACACCAGAACTTACAACCGTCTCCGGGCTACAAATTCGGTGAAAGCCAAGATATGGGACAGCCCTGACACGTATTATATATGGGGGTGATCGGCCTGAGCAAATATTTTAACCATTTTCAGTCTGACCATAAAGACAGTAATACGAGGATGGGGGGCACACGTTTTTCATCCATATTAGGACTCATGTCTTTGGTGACTTTGCCAGCTGCAACTCCATTTTAAACACGGTGGACGCTCCGGGGGCTCCAGATATGGGTGAAGTTTTGCACACGATCGCACGTTGATCGCACAAGGCCTATCTTATACCAAGATGGTACCATACAATACCATGTGTGCAGCTCTGCATCTATGCTGCGTAAAAATCATTCCCGCGGCGGAGTTTTTTTGTTTGTTGAAGTCATGAATCATAGAAAACCTGACATCATACCAAACCAAACAACAGTCCAGTGAATTATAAAGTTCAGTCTATTGCGCTTTTTCAAGGTTGGACTTTTTGGGATCACGTGCGAGAATTTTTTTGAATCGCTGGTGAACAGGCAAAGTTCAGTTTGTACGGGAATGGATGCATGAAGGTGAATGAAGCACTTGGATGGAGCTCAACTTGATGTCCGACACTCGTGTTGAGTCAGAGCCGCTACCCGGAAGCACTTCCATGGCTTGGGCAACAAGGAACAAGTTTCAGAACCGCTCCAAGCGCTGGTGCAGACGAACCTGTCACATGTTGTACATTTTTCAATGCGTTTTCACATGCGACCTGTTGGTCTGCATGCCTGGCCGGCTACCTGTCCGCTTACTTTAAACTTCCCCTTGCCTCTTTCACTACTACACAAACGAGATCCCAAACTGCAAAGTGACACAACAAGCTGTTCCTCCTCACCTCCCTCAGCAACTGATTGATGTCTTTCCCCTTGCCTCTTTTTGCTACCACACAAACGAGATCCCAAACTGCAAAGTGACACAACAAGCTGTTCCTCCTCACCTCCCTCAGCAACTGATTGATGTCTTTCCCCTTGCCTCTTTTTGCTACCACACAAACGAGATCCCAAACTGCAAAGTGACACAACAAGCTGTTCCTCCTCACCTCCCTCAGCAACTGATCGATGTCTTTCCCCTGCCTCTTTCGCTACCACACAAACGAGATCCCAAACGGCAAAGTGACACAAGAAGTTGTTCTTCCTTACCTCCCTCAGCGACTGGCTGATGGCGAAGATCTGTGCCATCGATGGACTCGAGGGTCGTTGAGCCGCTGCCGACAGAGCCAGTCTGCGACACGGAGTCCACGCTGGTGGACGCCTGTTGGCGGGTGCGCGATTTGAAGGCAAAGCGCTTGCGCGGTATGATCTGTCCCTGCAGCGCGTGCACTTCCGCTTGGATGTCACTGACATCCTGCACAGCCGCAAGACAACAAAGCCATAGCACAAACACTCTCAACAATGCGGACAGAGATTATGTACAATACCGTAGTGTCCTGCATTAAAGCTCTGTCTCGTATAGAAGCCGGTTTTGAATACAAGCCTGATTTTCAAGATGCACTGTCGGCACATAAGCCTGGCTTTAGTGACACCACAAAGAGTGTCTGCAACAGTGGCCTCACGTATCGTTAGGACAATTCTGCAACCATACAGCTACCCCCACAGTCACCACAGATTTCGCATGCGCCACGGGAACGGGAAGGAGGATGAAGGGATTCTTCGTGTTGTGTTCCCGTCACGTAGAGCAGAACATCTCGAATATCAGGAGTACACACACCCCGAGTGGTATGCAGGCCTTGAAAGGTGTGACCAGAGAGCATGTACTGGGAGTCAACAAAATAATATTCGGCGCGTACTTATTTTCGGCTATTTTCGGCCAGGTCACGCTCGGCCTAAAATTTGTTGCGGCCGAATTTTTGGAGTCAGCAACAGCACAGGTCGAAGATTTGATGCGGCCGAAATTTTGTTTTGCAAGGTTCAGTGTGACAGTGTATACGGGCAGCAGTAGTACAGGCCGAAAATTTGATGCGGCCGAAATGGGTTTTAGCCCTGGGAGGCCGAGGTTTGAATGGGCCGAAAGTTTGTACACTTACAGTACATGGTGTGTGCATGATTTCTTTTTGCTCGCGCCCGAAAACATGTGTATTTCGTAGAAGTCCGCGGGCACAGATCCATACACGCGGGGGGAATCTCCAAGTTTCAACTACCTCCGAAGTTCGGAGAGCTTGCGGAGCTTCAGAGAATCTCCAAACATTCGAAGAGGATACAAGAATGTTTGTTCTGGCTCTCGCAGATTACCGGACTTTTCCGAGAGGATACACAAATGTACGTGACCACAGTCTTGATCAATGAAATCCAGCCGCGCCACTCAAGTTTGCGCCTTGCACCATTTCGCAGCCTAGTGTTCGCAGGTCTAGGGCTGTGCAATGCCCGGCGCGTACCTGAGTGAAGCGATTGGATTTCATCGAGCAGTACTGCAGTACCCTTATACATCAGAGAGATGGGGGGGGGGGGGGAGGGGGACGGCAGCACCATTTTTTCGCACACCATTCTTAGTCTCTTACCTACCCCCATCAGCAAGCCCACACACTGACCTTCTGTGCTTGTCGCAAGTCAAACTTGGACAGGTAGCCAGCGGCTGATGAGACGAGCTTCTGCAGCTCCTGGCACAGTCGCAGCAGCTGGTCAAAGTACTCGGTCGCGTTGGCCTCCGACACGCTGCTCGCGTTGTTGAGCTTCGACAAAATGTCTGCAGCGGGAGAAAATAATCACACACACAGAGCACGGATCCTGATGCGTTGTGTTATCTGCAATCTCATTGGTGCCCTCTTTTCTGATGTGTGCCCCCCCCCCTCCCCGTTGAAAACTTTAAGAACCATGACAACCTAAATTGAATCTAGAGAAAACCTTGTGATGGCCCCATGGCTGCTCTGGACTTTCTAATAAACGTGTGCACGGCGCTGGTGCTACTTGTACTAAAATACAAAACCATGAAAATCTGTTATGAATAAAATAATCTGCGCACTCATACTTCAAACACACAAGGCAAGGTAGGTAGGTAAATAATACTAAATATTATACAATATAACCTAGCAAGATAATGTGGTGTGGTGACGGCAAAAAAAGTGTAGAAAAGAAAAACATGGATAAACATGAAAATCTGGTCATTGGTATTCCTACTACAGTCCATTTCAAAACGGTAGACGCGTACCTAGGCAAAAACCGTTATGCCAGCATCTATACCACATAAAATCTGTGATCACTTTGTGCATAAATTTTTCCAAATTGGGCGTCTGTTATCCAATCGTTTAGAGACTAATTTAGAGAGTAATTGTGGAGCGGTCCTGAGCAATATTCCGAAAACTATTCTCAAAAAGTTCCAGCCAAATTTGAAATATTTCAAAAACCCTACGCGTCTATAGTTTCGAAATGGACTGTAGAGTCTGCACAGTATAAATGTATTGTTATCCCTGGGTCTAAAGTTCACGAGCACAGTTCCGTACAGTAAAGCCTGTCAAGGCGACCACCTGTTAAAGGCGACCACATGAACCAGGACCCAGGGATGTTATTTCCAGTCAATTGACCCTGGATAAGGAGACCACCTGGTAACAGAAACCACGTTTTCAAGGTCCCTTGAGCGGTCGTCTTAGACAGGTTTCACTGTATCATGGAATTTGGCGAGGCCGTAGATCTGCGTGACGTCATGACAGGACTCATATCAAATCTGTCCCCTGTAAATAAATAATAAAATAAATTTCACGGTTCGCGTGAGACTCGGCTGGAAGCCGAGTTTTCCGCATCCGCCGTGGGAACGCCACCACCCTCTAGGATCAAAGGCGCAGATGCAGCGCCTGAACGGTGGGAGGTGAGTAGATCAGACCCACCACCAAGTGGTCAAAGACCGAAATCCCATTAGCTGCATCCTGTAAACTCCGCAGCAAACGATTGAAAATTCTGCGCCGAAAAACAGCGAATTCTGCGGCAATTCTGTGAATCATTCAATATTCTGCGGCAATTCTGTGGCAATTCTGCAAGGCAAGCCAAGGGGTTTGAGATTGAAAATGAACGTTTTTCCACACACACACACCACACCACATCCTCCGGCATGCACTGGCTGCTGGTAACCACCTAAGAGAATGAAGAGCTAGGAGAATGAGAAAGAGAAGAAAGACGTGTGTGACCATAATCGTCGGGAATTCAACCCGCAACCTCTCGATTGGAAATCGACTGCCCATACCATACCCCCCCCCCCCCCCCACACACACACACATACACACACACACACTGTGACACACATACACACACACACACACACGCACGCACGCACGCACAGACACACACACGCACACACACACCTCAGACCTCAGACATGCCCATCGCGGAAGCGATGATAGCGAACAGCTATGTTAGACATAGCAACTTGTGCTGGGATTACACCATTCAACAGCTTGCAAGGCTGATGAATTGACCGCCACTATTTTTAGTCTGGTATCCACCACACAGCTGTTTTGAAGTGACTTTTTCTGGCCAGTGAATCCCTATTTTTCATTTTTCCATTTCCCACATACACACACACACACACACACACACACACACACACACTACTATGTACATCTGCCACAAAATGGCCACGTCGCTCCCAGAAGCGGGAGACAACAGCGAGAAAGGAAAAGAAACAAGGAGAGTAATTGAGGTGAAAGGGGACCGTTCTACACATAGCTAGTGTTTCTGTCTTCGGTGGCGGGTGAGGTCCTGCGGGCACATACACGCACACATACACACACACACACACACACACACACACACACACACACACACACACACACACACACACACACACACACACACACACACATAACATACCCACCTTGCTTGGCGTCACCGAAGTCAACAGAAAACTTGGAAGTGGCAGCAGTCAGAGGGCTCTCCTGTCTTCGCTGCGCCCTCTCCAGAGCCTCTGCATCCCTGGCAGCAAAGTGCATTGCGAGCTTGTGATTCATCGCCATGGCTGAATCGCAACTAGATAGCAGAGTATTCCCCGCAACCAAACAAGCAGAAAAGTCCAATTCTTCTCCAAACGTCTAAAAGAAATTTCGAAACAAGTCAAAATCAAACTCACTCGGATGCGACACAGCTGCTGTGCTGTGTAGTCTTTCTATGCTCAACCAGGCAACCACGGCAACGAGCCAACGACGTCACGTGAAAAACGCATGCGTTACTCATGCTTTCTTTTGGATTCGCTGGATTACGTCATCTCCCCGCGCAAAACCAACGAGTGTTACAAAAACAGACAAGCGGAAATTCTAATCGCGCTTTGAAAAAATATGAGATTCTTTCACCCTTCACCTACTTACAAGCGGTTTACCATGGTTTACCTTCCGAGGATGGTGTTTCGAAAGCCAAACCTCTAGTTCGCGCATGCGCATATGCTTGTTTTTTCATAAAAGGGGATGAATCGTCGCTGCGGTGCCGCGCGGCCCGCGATCCTATCCCATTCAAACACTCAACGGGCATGCACGCGCTTGGCGTGCAGAGGACACGTCGTTCAGTTGCGATCAGATCATTGATGATCTGTCCCATACATGACCTGCTTCTGTGCATGATGTAGACAACGCGCGCGTGTGACTGTGCATGTGAACATGGTGAATCCAAGCACCCAGCTTGCTTACTTCTGCAAAGCACATGAAGCAAACGGTGACCTTTTTCTTCTCTTCACTTTCTAAAAAGCACCACACTGAGTACTTGTTGTGACTGTTCACTGGATCATCTCCATCATGGCAGCGTACTTGGAAAGGGTCAATGCCTTCCTTGATTCGGAAAATCCCGTAACGGAGCAGATGAACAAGATCACGGAAAAGACTGGAGTCAAGAAACAGCATCAATTTTTTGGTGAGTTGATCATGCAAAAATCAAACCAACTGAAAGGAAGAGAGACCTAGATAAGAGAGAGAAAGTCTATTCATCTACTATCGGTTGTCCGTCTTCTGCTGTTTGTTGGTAGCTTTCGTCGGCGTTATTCTGCTGTGGTTTATCTTCGGCTATGGTGCCTCACTTCTGTGCTCTGTGATTGGCTTCATTTACCCTGCATATCGCTCGTAAGTACTCCTAGATCCTGTAGAGCAGATATGTTGTGGCCATGTGGATGTAAGGATTGGGCGAAATGCTCCTGTGTCTCTCCCTGAACTTCCGCGTTACCTCAAGCGTCCTGGGGCTGGGGAAGGGAGCGGAGAACTTGTATAGCAGGCGCATAGGCTGCATACACGTGGCCCAGTGATGCAGATGGCCATGAAATTCTGTTGTGTTCGCCGAAAACAGTCGTTTGGTTTGTGGAAATGTTCAACGCCTCACGTACCGTATGTTTTCTTTTCCGTTTCGTATTTCGTTCATCGTGCACTCTTTTTTTGCCTTCGTCTGGGCCACATGTAATTGCAACACTGGTTCGTTGAGTCGCTCTTACTATTCTTCGTGCGTCACACTGCCTCGCTCCGCGCCCTGCACCTGCAAGTGTTGGAGGAGAAGCTGCGTAGCATTTTGCAGCTTATTGATGACCTCAGTGTCCTTGAACGGGACCCTTGCCCCACAGTTCATCTACAAATGGTCCACTTGTGCGGCTGGCACGCGTTTGAAGGAACGATCCCACGCTCTCCTGCGCTGCTTCTGGCTGCGCTGATCTAAATCTTATCTGGGTGCTGGAATGTTTGGGGTTCAGCTTCCTAAATCCGATAACTGACAGCGAAATTGAAAGGTGGAACAATTTTTGTTGCATTACAAATTGCTCACTACGGGATTGTATGGCAGGTACATGCAGTGAGTCAAACAGTCCCCATTCAGCCCCATTCGTACTCTTTGTGTTGCGCAATGTTTTTCGTTGGTGCCTCTCAGTTCTGTATCAGACTGTAATCCCTTGGTACACGTACTGTGGTGCTTCAGTATAAAGTACTAGTACCCTGGATATGATGTACAGTGCGTATCGGTTATAGTGTGGGTCGTGTAAAAGAATATACTGCCTAAAAGAATGAACTCTCATATTTTCATAATCATAACATCCTGATGATGCCTGATGATCGTAGTAATACGTGAAACTCAGAGTTGTAACAAAGCTTCCAAACTCTCTCTTGTGTAATCATAACATCAAGAGTCCATAAACAAGAGTATGCAACTGTGATCTCTATCCTATGGGCCAGATGCTCGGCGGGCTGCCTACATTACATCATTCAGCTGCAGTCTGCGCACTGCGGAAAATCAAACACTGCACTTGCCCTCTGGTTTGAAATGAACTTTCGTAGGGAACTGGAGAGTTCGCGCGCTATAATTTGGAGATCGCGTAGGTACTGGAACGAATCGAGCGAAAACGGATGGGCTCGTACGAAGCGACTGCGGATAAAACGACAATTCGCGAATGACGACGGAATTTCCGTGCCCAGAGCAAAGTCCCATCTAACTGTAATACATACACCGTATATTCTCTATTATAATCGCAGGTTTCCATTACTAGCACAGTCTCTAATACTAGCGCACTGTGAGCACGTTTGAAACATTATAAGCACGGTCTTGGTGAAAATCAATGCTGCATGCATAATATCTAGCATGTACTTCTTCTTGCTCTGTATGGATGTATTGGTTGAAAAATATACCGGTAAGCACGGGGTAGAGAGGTGTTGAAAAAATATAAGCATGGCGCTTATAATAGGGAATATACGGTAATGAGACTTTGGACATAAGAACACTTTGCGAATAAGGACACTTTTCTGATGCCCCGCGGAGTGTCGTTATACGAAAAGTTGACTGTAACCACACTCCATCATGGTGCAAATGCCGGCGAAAGCGCACAGAGATACACATAGCGATGGCAGCCGAAGCAGTGGAGGCGGGGCAAGAGCAGCTAAAGCGACCAAGGGTCTATATACTGTAAACTGCCTAAAGCGGGATTCACAGAAACTTTTTTGCGATGCGATGGGCGATGCGACGCGATTTCCGACGGAGGCGTTCCTATGCGAACTCGCGAAATACCATTCACAGAAGAAGTCAGCGATGCGACGACGATTTGCAGATTTGGCGCGAATTTCAATGCAGGAGAGTATGTCACCATGGTATTCGCGCGGTTTGGTGCAACTTGTACAAATTTACAGGCAACTCTTGAACCTTTGTACAACTTTGCTGTAGAAAAGGTCAAAATCGTATGCCAAATCGCTTGTCGCATCGCAAGAGTCGCTCAAATATTTCCGCTCAAATTCGAGTTTTTTCGCTCAAGCAGTACAGTGCTTTAGAGCCCGGGCATCCTTTTCTAGTCAGTTGGCCTCAGATTTAGAAGTACCTCGTCTTGGAGTTGTGAGTTGTGTCCTCGCCTCAACCTTCATTGCAATGACCTAGGTGTACACCAGCTATAAATGCTTGCACGAATTTTATTCCCGTAGCGATGTAGAAGACGGTACAAAGAGTAGCAAGACGTTACAAACCGTAGCGTCTGGCACTAGCCAGGCTCCTGTGCGCTTTATTTCGTTTGTGGGGTGCGTCCGTCATGACGTGACAGGGCGAGCGCAAAGAGCCGACAGGGCCGGGGCGCCAGGCACGCCTGGTGTTCCACCAGCTCAGTTCGCTCTGTAAAATGATTCATGATGATGGCAAGCACAGCGAAGGATCCTGATCTAACTCTCTTGTTTCCCTTTGAGTTACGTCAAACTGAAGTTTCACTGTACGTACACATACTGAGGGCTCTCCAAAGTTGTGTGTTATGACTTTCAGGGCCATCCCGGGTTACCGATTGTTGTTGTTTTTTTTTGTAGCGAAAAGTTTAGTATTTTCAGTCGCCACCCGCCCTGTTTGCCGGCAAAACAAAACTTCCCATGGCAACATAATTTATTGATTTCGAACTTCCTGGATGTTCTCCTTAGGCACTTCATACTTACTATTTTCGAAACCAGACTCCCCCAACCCATTGCCACTCGCAATAGAACATTCTGTAGTGGGTTTGGGCACAGCAGGGCGAGAGAGAGAGAGAGAGGGATGGGGAATTCTTATGTATTGCGTCGATGGATGGCGTGAAGGCTGGTGGCGAGTGTTCATTTCTAGTAATTTACTATGCTGACTGGCAGTGATGTACAGTGAAACCTGTCTAAGGCGACCCCTCAAGGGACAAGAAAAAGTGGTCGCCGTGGCCAGGTGGTCTTCTTAACCAGGTACAGTGGGTCACGTGACCATATCCACATGTGATACATCATTTCGATCGGTGCATCACAGTGCACACACACCTATGCTACTCTAGCACGACTCATGTGCCTGGGGTCCGCAGACCTGTCAAATGTCGTGCATGCACCATGTACATGTACATCTACACTTCCTGCACTGATGTGTAGATCTACCATGCCTGGTGCACCATGCAATGCATACATTTACACGGTTAGCACTGTGCAACGCGGTCGCGGGTGGGTGGTCGCCGGTCGCGTTGAGCGAGTGGTCGTCTTATCCGAGGTGTTTTGAATGTGAAGGCGTCCGTGACAAGGAAAAGTGGTCGCCATATCCGGGTGGTCGCCATTACAGGTTTTACTGTAGTAGTAGTAACTATTGCTGGTGCTCTTGCTGTGCTCTGTTGCTGACTAGACTAAAGGCATTGGAATCAAAGGAAGCCGATGACGACCGCATCTGCCTGGTCTACTGGGTGATCTATGCATTCTTCAGCGTCATTGAGTTCTTCTCCGACATCTTCCTCGGATGGATTCCATTCTACTACCTCCTCAAGGTGGGTACCGGCCGTATCAGCTCTGTGCCTCCCCCTCATGTCTCTGCTGCTTCCTTGTCTACTTTTTACGTGGCCTGCTCAACTGTGCACAGTCACAATACCAACTTTAGGCACTTTGCAGCACGCCTCATATTATTATGTTGTCTAGTTATTAAATGTGTAAATGAAGGCAGCTTTTGCTTGTCTGAGTAACTAGCCAGCTCCACTCTGCTTTCTAATTCGGTTACTCGTATGTTGCTGTTGCGAAGAGCATTTGCACTCTGATCCCCGAAGAAGCTTACTAGATGATTTGCTTGTTCTTGGGTGGAGTTGTTGTTGTTTCTGGCCTTACTGTCTGTTGTGCTGCGGTGCGCCTTCCTAGTCTTTATCATTTGCTTGTTCTTGGGTGGAGATGTTGTTTGTTTCTGGCTTTGCTGTCTGTTGTGCTGCAGTGCGCCTTCCTAGTCTGGTGCATGGTGCCTGGGCCAGCCAACGGTTCTCTTCTCCTCTACGAGAAGGTGCTCCGTCCAGTCTTCCTCAAGCACGAGAAGCAGATTGACCAGGTGCGTTATACATGTGTGTGTGTGTATCTTACTAGAGAGAGAGGGGGGGGGGGGTGCAGTTACCTGAGACCACTTTCTTCTGATCTTATTTGCTACCATTGCCAGAAGGGGGTGTGACTCTTCGATATGTAGGCCTTGCATGTCTTGCTGGCGTTCTTTTGGGTGTTTCTTCCGCTCATGGCTTTGTTTGTGTCTGTAGTATTGTATCTAGTTCTAACGCAGCCCCTTCTCACCCCTATTCAGGGCAGAGACGAATCAGTCTTGGAAGCTATGGCCAACGATGTATACGAAGGCCCTTCGGTGTTTGAATGCCGTTTGCTTGTGGTTCCTATTTTCCTTGTTTCACGAAATGACTGTGTGTGTACATGTGTTTTCTTTGTTCTAGGTTGCCAACAAGGCTCTATCCAGTGCCAAGGAGGTCTCAGCTGAGGCTTCAAACATTGCAACATCCGCTGCTGACCAAGGTATGTGACTCTGTGTGTGTGTGTGTGCGTGTGCTGTTGAATGGTGCAATCCCAGCACAAGCTGCTATGGCTTCTGCTGTAGCATCGCTATCATCGCCTCCAGCGATGGGCGTCCAATGGTGTGTGTGTGTGTGTGTGTGGCCAGAAAAGCCACTTCAATCAGCTGTGTGGTGGATACCAGGCTAAAATTAGTGGCGGTCAATTCATCAGCCTTGCAAGCTGTTGAATGGTGTAATCCCAGCACTAGTGGCTATGTCTAGCATAGCTGTTCGCTATCATCGCTTCCGCGATGGGCATCTCTGAGTGTGTGTGCACTTTGTTGGACTGCCTCGTCTCTCCGGTCATGGAGTATGTGCCTTGTTGCTTGGGTGGTTAGCGGTATTTGAGGCTGCCCACGTCTTGGTTTTCCAAGGCAGCTCCTGTCTTGCTTTCAGGGTTACATCGACCCAAACTGCATCAGCCCCTTCTAATTTCGTTCATCTCGCAGTACATCAATAGCAGAATATTAGAGTGTATTAGAGCGTATTTGGAGATGACTAGATGAATGGCGAGCCCAGCTTCTGATCTATTAAAAGCTGAGTTTTCTTTGAATGAGTGCTATATTTAGACGATCTTTGATTTTCTGAAATCCTTGGAAGGCCTAGTACGAAGAGAACGACACTGTATTCTGCTTGCCCCTGATGCACTACAATGCGCACTCGTGCTTGTAATGGAACCGGGATGGATAGGGCCTGGAAGGCACATTGCCTAGATACTGTAATTTCACAAATTTTCGGTGTACTTTTATTTTCGGTACTTTCGGAGCATCTGTTTCAGACCTAAAATTTCAATACACCGAACAAACACTAACACACATAATCCAGTATGGAACTGCTTCTCTGTACCTAAAATTTCTGTTCACCTAACCTGACCTTTTGTCCTCATACCGAAAATATTGAGCACCTAAAATTTCTGAAATTAGGGGCCGTCCGTAAATATCGAACGTTTTTCACCAAACGAATTATTTTAGTTTAGACACAACCCCTCCCTCCCCCTCGGAACGTAAAAAAATGTTGACATACATGCATAATACAACGGCCATGTACATGAATCAATGTTTTCTGAAGCGAAATTGGTCAACCTCCTCCCACCCCATAACGAAATTATTTCGTTTTGTGAAAAAAGTTCGATATTTATGGACAACCCCTTAGAGTACATGCTGGCACCAGGATTATTTAGCTAGCTGGGCATCTAGTTAGGTTAAATACTGTAAATATACAAAATTTCGGCGCTGCAAAATTTCGGCACTTCACAATTTTTGACATTTCGGCGGCGATTTATTTTCGGCGTGGGTAGAGGGCATGGTATAGTGCGACAGATGCTGTGAAAAATTTCATCGGCGTTTTAATTTAGGCATTTTGGGTCGGTGCCGAATATAGCTGAAATTAAATAGCTGCCGAAAATTTGTATATTTACAGTAAACTGCTTTGTGTTCTAACCTGATCACATTGGATTGCCCACGTACTCATGTTACTCATGTGTGTTGTGTACGCTGTTTTGCTGTTTGTCCTTTCGCTTGCTTGCTTACAGTCACCGAGTATGCCGTCCAGGAGGGCCTTCGCCACGTCAAGGAGAAGGGCATCACTGCCGCCTCGGAGCAGTAAGTTGAGAGAGCAGCAGCGATTGTGTTCCGTTGGGTGCCTGTTGACCCGTTCCTACCGTATTGCGGACGTCCGTCATCGTCGTGTTCTGCTGCCAACGCGTGCCTGACTTGGGTGGCCCTGCCGCTCAACCAGAATTAGCCGCGTCTAATGTGCGTTGTGTGTTTGCGAGTAGGCGAGTGCGACATGCATAGTATCGTTATTTTTTTATCTTCCCGCTCATTGTTTGTTGCTGCTGCTGCTGGTTATACTGCATGCACGCTCGGAACACGAGACGGTGCCCGTTTACCGCCCGCACGTAGAGGTCTTCAACGGTAGTGCTAGTAGGTAACCGGAAGCCAGTGACATGTAGTGTCGGCCTAGTTTCTCTGTGCTGTCCGAAGTTGGCTGGACACCTGCTGATGCTGTACATGTGTGTCTGTGACTGTCGTTAGCTGTGTCTGTCCGACTCCATTTCTATCTACTTGGTCGTGTGTGTGTCTGCACTACCAGGTCCTTCTCCTCTTCTGTTTGAGTTTCTATTTTTGGTTGATGTGCTCGTGTGTGTATAGTGGCCGCTGGCTTCCTTTCTTGTTTTTAGTTCTTTACCTACCGTATCACCTTTTACTCAGCTAACATCTCTAACCCATTTTTCAATCCATTTGTGTACTATTCGATTAGTGGCCAATTTTTTTTGATCAATGGACAGTGCAGTGTGCAATTTCATGCGGATCACGGAACTATCCGGCCTGGCTGGCATTTGCCATGGGTGACAAGTAGTGTGCGGGGTTTAAGCTGGTCCCGGTGCAAGTGACACATGCATGCTGTTAGTCGATGTTGCGTTGGCACCTCTGTCCCGCGGCCCGCACATCTCCTCACTGCTCTCCTCCCTGCATAGCCCTTATGAAGTATCCAGACTGAGTGAGATAGCCTCGCATCATGTGCTGTCTCTGTTTCGAGCAGTTTGTGGTGTAGATACACACGTACTCAATGCATGGCATGCCACGTCGAAGAGATTGATGAAAATGTGAGAATTCCATTATTTCAAGGGATACGATCAAGGAGTCAAAGACTCCCTGATGCACGCGCTTCTACTGGTATCGTTTTGTTGAAAAGCTCATAGTCATACTCCACTAGTATAGTACAGGCCACAGCAGTTTGGATGCTGTTAGAAGTTAGTTAGTTGGGTAGAGACTACTAGAGAGTACTACTGTCGAGGTACAGGAATGTGCCACGTGACGGAAAAGGAACAAGCTACCGATACATGAATAATGCCTCTTCGTGCTGATACAAAACAAACTGCATGCAAGACCAAGGACTGCACAGGCTACAACACTTGGTCGGCCAGCGACCACACACCGTAATGTCGCGTATAAAAGCCGAGCTTATTCCTGCAGAAGCCGATGTCAGTGCTAGGCTTCTATTCGAACCAAGCATCTCGTACACATTAGTGCGAGACAGAACCATTTCTTTCCAGTCGCTGGGCGTACTGGTACAGTTACAGGCACAATGGCCGCCTGTAACTGTACCCACCACACATCTGCACTGTGCTACACAAGAATCTAGTGAGTTGACAGCCGTAGTAATACAGTCAGCGCGCAATGGCCATATAACATCCGTGTTAAATGCATTGCCAGCCATTGCTAGTATTAAAATAAAGCACACACGCACAATAGCACAAATAAACAAAACAAAAAAACCGGGGCAATTTACAATCGGGGAGCAAGCACCCCAGGGTGGGGGCAAAATAGAAATAGAATAATTAAAAGAAATCTAGGCAAGGAACAATTGCAAATCAGCAGGGAAAAATGGAGACGGCTACCTAATTTGGTGCACGAGGAAATCTTTGGCACCATAATCATTTTTCTGTCCCACATCGAGCTCCCGGGAAAAGTAGGAGATGCAACGCACTACCGGAGTACGGAGCTCTCCAAGAAAAAAACTGTAAAAAATACAACTACGTCCACCAGGAATCAATCACGCACGCACACGCAAACACTCGCATTCTCACGCACGCACGCACACACACACTCACATACTACGGTTGAGACAGGCGGCGGAAAGAGCCGGAGAGTCTAGAATCGGAGGAGGCGTTGCTGTTGTTGTTGTTGTTGTCGCCGCCGCCAGGCCAGGCTGATGGGGGGTAATGCTCTAGTCTTCAAGGCGGCGGAATGCCTCGGACATGGACTCGTGCAGGTCGGCAAAGTCCTTCTTGATCTTGACCTCGCCGTCCTTCTGCGGGTCCTTGAACTTCATGCTACTGAGCTGGTACATGATGTCGCCGAGGCTGTCGCGGATCCCTGACCAGGTGATCTTGTTGTCGGACTGAGCCGTGCTCTCGACGGAGTGGCGCGCCATGTCGTAGAAGGCACACACGTTGCTCAGCATGCCCACCGTCTTGTAGAAGGGGCAGTAGCGGTCGTACGGCGTGTAGCCGTTCTGCTGCAGGAAGTCGTCCTTGATGAGCTTGGCCACCTCCAACGTGATCTTGTCCGTCTCGGCCAGCGACGACTTACCGACGAGCTGCACAATTTCTGACAAGTCCTCTTCCTCCTGCAGGATCTGCTTGACCTGTGAGCAAGAATGGAGCAGAGCAACAGAAATGGCACAAAAGACAAAGTAAGCTCGGAGTGGAGTTTGGAGTCAAGCCCGATCAAAATAGCGTACATATAAGCATGTACACGCCGACACCGACACATACACAGATAGCGGCACAGGTATTTGATTGAATCGCAAAGGAATGCCGATGCGGCACAGATTTCGAGCTGAAGCCCACGAATTACATAGAACGTTCAACAGTTAGTATGCACAAGAGATTGGCACAAAACTGGCAGAGAAAACCGAGACACTCCACAGCCGAACACTAAGCTCGAGAGCGGATCGATTCCGGGAACCAATGGCCTTCCAACCATCGATGCTATTTTATTCGTATTCGCCTGATCTCCGCATCAGTAGTGCAGTGATAGGTCTACAAGGAACGGCATTGGACTGCCTTCAGATGGAATCAAGATGCAAACTATGGCCATGGTTGCCGAAGGTCAGACCAAAGCACACTTTCAGAGGTCCAAACCCATTTTAGTGCCAGTCAGTGTGCCAAAGATGGATGGATAGATAGAGAAAGCACTCTCATATCAAAGCCTTCAGTGCTTCTTGCGGGCGTACTTTGGCCCGGATTTCATTGGCTCTATTGTACAATACATGTACAATCAATGATATGATCATACAAGTACAAAACCCACCACCTCGACGAAGAGAATGTAATTGTCGGGTTTATCAGGAGGAAGCTGCAGCTTCCCATGGAGGGGTAATGGCAGCAGCCAGTAAGAGTGAAACCTCTATAAAACGCATCCTGAATAGAGTCAGACCTCGCTTACCAGGAAGAAAATCGTTGGTTACCGATTCACAGAATATGTCATGCATACATACAGTACGTGTGTTCGATTATCCGGTTCCCTCTCCTATCTGGATATTTTTGTGGAAAACGGACGTGTGCGGTGTAATAAGCGAAGTCTGACTGTATAAATAGATAAATGGGCTAGAAATAGAGTACAGCTGTGTTCAGTGAAATCCGACATAAAGTCCAAATCTGGTGCCCTGGACCAGTTCCACTGTGCATGTAAACGTTCAGTCGCATTCGTACCACTTCCAGGACGCCGAGGGCCATGCAAGTTGAGGGCGGCAAATATGCACTTCCGGTTGGATTTCACTGAGCACAACGTACATGTACTGCAAAGTACTATCCACGAGGACTCTATCACACCATTCCTGCCACTTGACTGGGAACTTACACGACCTCGGCTACAAAGTACAGATTTTTTTATGGCACCTGGAGGTACATTATACTGAAGTTACACTGTATGTGCTGACCAATGTAGCAAAGAGGATGTTGTATGAGTGACAGAGTAAGGCAATGGTTTGTTTTTTGCACATGCACACGCGTCAAGGTAGCACGAGTACAAGACACAAGAACGTGCTCGTGAGCACTTGCATACAAACAGGAACAGTCTAGACAACACCCGGGATGTTTCTGGACTCCGTACGGATCTTGCATGATTTGTGTGATGATGCATTGCGCAAGACAACCCGGGAGAATGATGACTCAGGATGAACAACCCAATCACGCACAGGAGCACACTCATGATAGCACCTGAGTCTGCACAAAGCCATGACTAACCTTGGTTCTGAGTGGCACAAACTCCGTGTAGTTCTTCTCATAGAAGTCGTCCAACGCCTGCATGTACTTAGAGTAGGAGATGAGCCAGTTGATGGAGGGGAAATGCTTACGTTGTGCAAGCTTCTTGTCAAGACCCCAGAACACCTGAAGCGGAAAAAAGATGGGCAGCAAAGCAAGACAAGAGACTTTTCATGATCACGAACCAGCGGAAAGATGGCCAGCACAGGGCCAGCCGATAAATTGTCAGTTGGATTGGACTAGCACGGGGTGATTCCAAACCTAAACACCTCGTCAAAGATACTGTGTTCGCCAAACACCACCTTCCAACACCTGGTGTATCGAAAAAAAAACTGTTGCCACTTTGCTGATCAGGCATGAGAGAAACTTAGCAGTTGGCTCCGATACAAAATATAAATACAGTACCTAGCACAATCGGAATACGTTCATCTGGGAAGAAACATGACGAATGCAGAGTTCCAACGTTCACAGGATATCGCATGGCTACCATGTTACAAAAAAGCTGTGTATTTTCAACCAACAACCACATTAAAACACGCACACACACGCAACACGTGTACGGCGCCGTGCAGAGAAACAGGCATGCAGCATGCAAGCACACTTGACACACACACACACCCGCACGGGTAGCATACCTCACCGACACGAGCCCCACACACAGCAACACAACTCGCAGAGCGGCGTGCTTACCTGGACGATGTTGAGCGTGGCGGAGGTGACGGGATCGGAGAAGTCACCACCGGGCGGTGAGACAGCACCGACGATACTAACACTACCCTCACGCGACGGACTACCTAAGCAACTAACACGACCAGCACGCTCGTAGAAGGAGGCGAGACGAGCGCCGAGGTAGGCTGGGTAGCCAGAGTCGGCCGGCATTTCGGCGAGACGACCGGAGATTTCACGCAGGGCCTCGGCCCATCGCGACGTCGAGTCGGCCATCATACTGACGTTGACACCCATGTCGCGGAAGTACTCGGCTAGCGTGATACCGGTGTAGATGGAGGCCTCACGGGCGGCTACGGGCATGTTGGAGGTGTTGGCGACCAGCGCGGTACGCTTCATGATCGACTCCGTCTTGCCGCCGATTTCCACCTCCAGCTCGGGGAAGTCGCGCAGTACTTCGCTCATCTCGTTGCCGCGCTCGCCACAGCCCACGTAGATGATGACGTCGGAGTTGGAGAACTTGGACAGGGACTGCGAGATGACAGTCTTGCCGCAGCCGAAAGCCCCGGGGATGGCCGTGGTACCGCCCTGGACGCACGGGAACAAAGCGTCCAGCACGCGCTGCCCGGTCAGGAGAGGGTGGTTGGCGGCAAGCTTGTCGGCGACGGGACGCTCCTTACGCACGGGCCAAACCTGGTACATCTTGTACTTGGTCGTCTGGCCGTCAAACTCCAGCGCAAGGATCTCCTCGTCGATGGTGTAATTGCCTGGCGGTGCAATGAACGATACGGTTCCCTTGGCTTCTGGGTGCAGCATGACACGATGCTTCACCAAGTTGTTCTCGTGCACTTCACCATAAATGTCACCACCGGTCAAATGGGATCCGACGCTGACCGTGGGCTTGAACTCCCATCGGTTCGTCCTGCTCAGGGCTGCAGTGTTCACACCGCGCGGAATGTAGATGCTCTGTGTAATGTCACAGATATCCTTCAGGGGACGCTGGATTCCGTCGAAAATGCTGCCCATAATTCCAGGGCCGAGCTCCACCGACAATGGCTTGCCAGTTCTGAGCACGGGATCTCCCACAGTGACACCTGACGTCTCCTCGTATACCTGGATGGTGGCCATGTCGCCTTCCAGCTTGATGATTTCACCAACCAGCTCCTGATGGCCCACACGGACCAGCTCGTACATGCTGGCTCCGCTCATCCTTTCCGCCGTCACGACGGGTCCAGAAACGCCATGGACGTAGCCATACTCCGATTCCTTCTCTGTATCTCTGATGCTCATCATCTTGAAGGCTAAAAGACTAAAGACAGAGGTCTACTGACGAAGAACTGAAGAGAGCACTCTCCAAACAACTGCACAAATTCAACAGTCCAAAGGGCTGCTTTGTACGGCACAACCAGCTATCCCTGCAGCTACTTTTGCTGGCTCTCGACAGGCGCAACTCGGCAACTCGCGAAAACCTTCCACGGATCAGTGCATCCCAACGACATCATGCATGACGCCATTTGTAGGCATGCGCTGTGATCTTGGAAATGGCTTCGATTTGCAGTGGGGGATCCAGCGCGCCGCAACAACACAGCGAATCGCTACCGAACAAGGTTACTTTTCACGTCATCAGGTCACGCGTGTGTTCACGAGTCAAGCGCATCTCTTTCAACGTTGAAATATGAGTCATACATGAAAACACGTACACGTAGATCTACGGGATCGCGTATATCGAGACGTTCACGTACATAATTTACGCCATTCAAGTCAACTGCATGCATTCACACTGCACTTTTTCAGAAAGGCCCATGTCATGAATCCACCGGAATGAATCGATTTTAATTGCTGCAAGGTGTGTCATTTTTCGTTATGTTTGGTGAGGCCCAGAGGCCCCAGACACAGTATTTCAGCCTATTTCAGGTGCCTTGCGCTGTGAATCTAAAGTTCCGTTATGTTGTGCTGGTGGAGTGTTTAAATTCTTGCCTGATTTTTCTGGGAATGATTCAGGCTTTTCTCTGCCCTGGCCTATGCCTATGGCCTAGCAGTAGCACTGACTGTAGCTGTCGACATATTATGTACATGTCAGTGCTACATGTACATGTAGTGTCACTCAGCTCATGACTCACAGATTATTCGATGAACTACCGTGACAGTACCGGTACAGTTCATTTGTCCATTCTGGCATTCATCGGAAACAGTCCCGCTGCCGGGGTTTTTGAAAGTCCAAAGTTTGGGCCGAATTGAGGATCAAAAACCCACTTTAAATCTCAATAATCTGGGTTAGGATCTGCTTCTCTATACATTTTGCCATGGCATACCTGTCCGAGTTTTGTAAAACCTGGCTGAATTTTTATTTCCCTGTTCTTGGGCTTTTTCTGGCCTCAAAAATGATGTGGCAAGGAGTAATTGCACGGGTCACACAATGCAGGATGTATTGTTGTTTTAACGATACTGTATCTATTCGAGTCGCTCGGAAACGTGTGTGTGTGTGTAACGGGCAGGGCTCATCCTGAAACGCCGACAGCATCACTGAGACTCCACTGCTGGCTGTTTATACAGGTCACGGTGTCGCCAAGTCCGCCGGAATACTAGTGTGAGCGTGTTGGTATGGAACAATCCAGGGACAATGCCGCTTAGTCTCCAAGTCGGCGGCCCTCAACTGCATCACATTGTGTCACTTGAATGATTTAGTCACATTGGGGATAAAATCCAATGCGGCGGCGGTAACTAAAACAGTGCCGCTTTGCAGTGTACCGAGTGTGCACAACTTCTTGAGTTCAAGAGCCTCCGACAACACTGACCAATTTAGTGTGTATGTGTGTGTGTGTGTGTGTGTCTAAGAATATGCTTGTTTCCATTTTGAACCTACAAACTGAGAAGATTATTCCGCTGAACTGCGGGGCACGGAAAGATTGGCCGAGCCAGTGAACGGCTAGGCAGGCGACCACGACTACAAGTAGAGCGAGTGATCATTTCCCTGTGAAAAAACGACCTGCTAACTCCATCAATTATCATTCCCCATCCTAACGTCTTCTGATTCCTCTAAGAGTTCTGTGAAGCAGCTTTTGGTGAAGTGGCCATTTTCAGTGTAACTAACTATAAAAGTATAAATGCCGTAAAGCCAGACTGCCGCTTTTTTAAAAAGTTAATTTTATAATCCTGTGGTCTGTTGAAGCCTATGCCAGTGCTAGGCTTCTATTCAAGTCAGGCAGGGGCATGACACACATTGTATGACCAGTACAACCATGCGGGTCGTAGGGTCCAGCGGATTTATGCCGGCAGAAAAACTGGCAGAATTCGGTACTTTTTCTGGTAAGTTTCATGCATGTTTGGTATGTGGATAAAGAAATGGAGGAGAATTCGAGGAATTGCCCGCCATAAGGTTTGTATGGTTCTGCCAATTTCGCTGCTTTTCGAGCAGAATCTGCCACCTTTTCGAGCATAATCCGCCGGTGCCTAGCTGGTCGTACCACTGTTCGTCCAGGATGGTGCCCACAATTCATCCAAAAAAGCAATGTCTAGTAAAAGAAAGCTAAACGTGCCCTGTTGGCCGAAAAATCCAAATTGTTTTTCGCGGGGCGCCCCGCATCCCCGGTCGTACCACTCCTCACCGCCCTGTGATGCCCCCCCCCCCCCCCTGTCAGGCTTCTACTACTAGTATATGAATCCGGTATTTTTTTATCTATGTCAAGTTGCCAACACAAAAAACAGGCTTATGTGCAGCCAGTGCATTTTGAAAATCAGGCTTGTGTTGAAAACAGGCTTCAACATGGTATTGGCAGTAAATTGAATTCTCATCCATCAGTGCGAGAGAGCTGAGCTTGAAGCGCCGGTTTCAGAAGAAAGAAAAAAAGTTGACTGTGATTACAGGAGGGTAGAGTTCATGTAATGGAACTTGGAACTAATATAATTACATGTATTATCATCCCTCCCATCAACACTGCATGGCGTGTGCAATGCGAGTGCCTCCGAGGTTGGGGTGTGCCTAACCCCCAGTTCTTCGCCATCTGGCAGTACTGCAGCGAGCCTGTTCACTAACTACTTGCGGCCGCATGGCGTCGGAGGAATAGGAAGGGGAGACGCAATAGAGGTCATGCAATTACATGATCTGTTGCGGAGGTGCTTTGGCAAAGTCACGCACAGCTGTCGGTCGCCGAAGAACTGGGATCAGCCTCCTATAGCCTAGACCTTCTTATTTTCATGCATTGCAGTGTATGCGCAGTTGCGTCACCGTGTATACACTGGCATGCTGTGCTTAGTGAAATAATATTTAATTCTAGCCTGGCCGTTCTTCAGTACGCCGTTCTTTGGCGCTCCGTTCTTTGGCGCCCTACAGTACTGTAGCGCACAATGCACTGGTGACTCGGTTTGTATGCATAGCGCCCATAAACCATTCCGCTGTATACTTAGCGATCATAAGCGGTTCCGGAATGCTGCTGACTCGTCATCATGGCTTCTTTCGCATAACCTTTAAAAAATTCATTGTAGGCTGGCAAGGCTCACGTGACTAGCCCATACTGTGTCTTTATCATACAATCATGTAATTATTAAATTTTACCATAGTAACTGTGCATGTGGAACAGGACTTGAAGCAAGAGTGGACATGACTATGCTTTTGCTTACCGTTTCGTGATCGGAGCCGCACTTCGAAAGCAGTATCCGCTCTTCACTGCCACTGCCACTGGCCTCGGAGTCGCCTTCACTTGTTTAGACAGTCCAGTTCAGACATTATGAGTTTCACCATGCTCCCACTCGCACTGCACTGAGTGACGCAGTCGGCGATGGTACCAGCCGCGCCGCCGAGCCGATCAGCTCACATGCTAGCTGGAAGTAAAATACAGTGTAGATCTACAAGACTTCTGTCAAGTAAAATCTGAAACGTAGATCATGAAAATTGTTGTCATTTCGTGACAGAACTGTTGAGCTTGAAGGCAGATCGGAGGAGCACGCTAGTCCGAGCCCCGAGTAGTCGCTAGCGCTACATACACAGACAGTCGGCCAGTGCAGTGCCAGTGGCAGTGGCATCTCAAGTACAATGTCAATGCCATGGGTCATGGCCGTGCAGGCACGCGTGCACGCATGCATGCAGCATGGTCGGTTGATGCTGTTTTTTTTGCGTACTTTCCTCACCAAAAACAGCACCTTCAAAGTAACGTTGGCTGCGTCTGTCACTCCATGTTTTACTTCAATGGTTGGAGTTGTCTAGAGATTAGAGTTTGTGGATAGGTAGAGTCGGAATGGCAGTAGCCCACAGCGGCAGAGCATGCTGATAGACGCTGAGCCTTGCTAGAGCGCTTGTCGCCGGCTCGTAAAGTGTTGCAGTAAACGATTGGAGCGCGTAAAGAATAGCGATCGTGCTGCCTGGATTTGTTTGAGAGGTGTGCGCAGTTTGAGATCTGGGGCGTGAGCGCAGTAGCGAGCGCCACAGTCGCTGCTCGGCCAACATGGCAGAGGAGATCGACGAAAGCCCCCACCCGGTGATAGTCCGCAAGAATCACCTGGGCTTCGGCTTCAACGTCAGAGGCCAGGTCAGCATTATCGTCTTGTACATGTTTCTGTCTATAAAGCTGCTGGTTCCGTTCTGAAGAACAAACAAGGTTATCAATCTCGTAGCGAGCCGCCAGATCTATTCCAAAATAAGGCAGTCGTAATGTACCGGCATGTTAGTACCCAAGGAGCTTCTGGTATCGTACGAGCAGCGGGAGGCGGCGATATCGGGTGCCAACGTTTCTTTGCGCAATGATGGTGTAAACACATTAATTTCGATGTTGAAGTGGTGGCACGTGGTCTGGCCTGTGTGCAGTGCACAGAACAGGTTGCTGGACAGACTCTTGAAATCTTCACTTCAGCGACCGTGTCGGAAGTATTGACTTAGGAAATAGTGGCAGCGTCCACATCTTAATACACAGTAGACTCTGAACAAATGATTTACGCACCGGTCGGTAGAAATACGTCAACTCCATCAGGGGCCTCAGGGCCCTTGGCCACGCCGACATAAATGATCAGAATATTGTACAGTAGGATTCCGAATTTTTGCCTAACTGCATGATCAATATGGATTCGAATTCACGAAAAGGTGAACAATTTGGTATCATGCCAGTCTTAAATTTCCTCACAACTTGAATGTTTTCCGCTCGAGTGACGTCAGCTCGTTGTTGAGAAGTGAGTGAGAAGTGTCGTGCGATTTCTATCTCTTTGATGTCGAAGAGGGGCGTTTTCTTCTGACCTGGGGGTCTTGTTTATGCAAGCTTGGCACTGTGTTCTGCTGGGGAAACAGGAAAGCATGACCTTGAAGTAGAAAACGATCAGCCTTTGTTTGAGTCGGGTGTGTTTGAGATGAAATCCTGCATCCGGAGCTGCACACGGAGGAAACTGAACAAACCAGAGACTTTGCTATAGGCCAGCAATGCCCTTCCACTCACATAATGGTATACGCCGTTATCATCCCAGCAGAGGCTGTTCAAAATTTCTTCAAACTTCGCTGACCATTGTGCGGTTTTGTGTGTGTTTCTTTTTACTGTGTTAACTGGTCAGGTCAATGAAGGTGGCACGCTGAAGCCGATCAAGGGACAGCTTTACGCTCCCATGCAGTATGTCAGTGCTGTACTGGAGAACGGGCCGGCTAAGGAGGGTGGCCTGCGTCTGTACGATCGCATCCTAGAAATGTGAGCAGAACCAGGATAGGCTATGAAAGTATAGTAAAATCTGTCAAGGCCACCACTCGGATACGGCAACCACCTGTCCTAGAAGACCACTGAAACCAGGATCAAGGGATGCTATGTCCAGTGAAATGACCCTGGATACGGAAACCACCTGGTAAAAGAGACCACGCTTTGAAGGTCCCCTGATCCCCGGTCGGTCGTCTTAGACAGGTTTCACTGTAATCGGTCCAGGAGGGTGTTGGGAACTTCACGCCTGAAATGATTGGTCAACCGCCCGCATCCAATCAGAGTTCAGCAAGTATTTTCTTCTTGGCTTGTTGTTGATGGCTAAACTATTCTTGTTTCTGCTTGAGGAAGGAGAAACAAGCCGGAAAAAATCCTGCCGGAGAAGAACATCTAAAATATCTGCCTCCGGTGTCCCTCATGTCGGAGGTGTGATAGAGTCTGTGGTCAGTTGTGTCTTCGATGATCACCTCGCGGTACAGTCAGACCTCCCTTATCCGGTCCTCTTTTATCCGGATCCCTCGCCATCCGGAAGAAAATCGTTGGTTGCCGATTTACAGCATATGGCATGCATACATACAGTATGTGTGTTCGATTATCCGGTTCCCTCGCCTATCCGGATATTTTCGTGGAAAACGGATGTGTGCGGTTAAGCGAGGTTTGACTGTACTCAGAATAGTGATCTTTCTAGACATGAGGCCTTGCTAGGTACCGTATTATCCCGAGTATACTGTATAGCAGGAAATTTTCGGACGGAATTTATTTTCGTACGATTTCGTACACGGCCTCTTTTGCACTAAAATGAATTCCGTACTAAAATTTGTTCATGCAAAATTATGTACACTGTACATGCATACTCCTTGCAAACACGTGTATTTGGAATGCAGCACTGTACGAAAATATAATCCGTACGAAAGGTCGAAATTTGGCTTTGTCCGAAAATATTTCCGTCCGAAAATTTCCTGCTATACAGTACGTCGCACTGGAGTATAAGCTGCACCCCCATTTTTTCCACGAAACATAGACATCTAAACTATCCTATTTAATCACCGTAAATTTGATCCTGGGAGTATACACCGCACTCCCTTTTTTCCCCCGGGTGAATCTTGAGTGTTCAAAGTGTGGCTTATACTCCAGAGAATACGGAATGCAGTAATGGCTAAAGTCATATGTAGCCCTGGCCGAAGAACTCCAATCCGCGAGCCGAAAGCAGCGCCAACGCTCGTGCAGCCCCATGTGCCCTCGGATGGGCGTTTGGACCAGGCATGGTGTAAATGACATTGAAACGCGGCGCTGCTTTTGACTCGTGTGTCGTGTTTTCTCTGGCCACGACTGTACCAGTACATAGTTGTATAAAAGGAGGCGCCATCGCTTGTTTGTGTTGCGACTTTAAATGAAATTCAACAACAACAACATTCAACAACATAGCAGTAAGTAAACAGGGTGCTAAATTATGACTTTTCGTTTGCCACGCAGGGGCACCAAGGTTTGGCTTGACCGAATGAAAGAGCAAGAGCAAGGCTTTCTAGGCGTGTGCCTCTTGATTAGCTGTGTTGGGGGATTGTTGACCAAATTTGCCGAAATTGCTTTTCTTCCTCTCTTCGCGTTGCCATGGCAAGTGAATCATGAATTTGAATTCTGAGGCTATTGAAAGCATCATAGAGATGTTTGTTGACTGTATTCATGCCACAGAGGCCGAGGAGAGCCAGCATACGAACATTTACCGAATTTGGATGAAGTATAGGCGTGTAGAGAGGAGAAATAGTACTGCACAGTATGACACAACATGCGGCACAGTTGTCATGTAATAGGTACCTTGCAGTGTGCACCTACAACCACACTATCGCATAACGGATGAGTTCAAAGCAATACTAGGGTACCCCGTAAGGAGACCATAGGTCTGTGGGGACTGCCCTAGAGAAATATGAATAAATACTACTATACTATTACTACAGTCAGACCTCGCTTATCCGGTCCTCTTTTATCCGGATCCCTCACCATCCGGAAGAAAATCGTTGGTTACCGATTTACAGCATATGCCATGCATACATACAGTGTGTGTGCTCGATTATCCGGTTCCCTCGCCTACTGTAAATATACAAATTTTCGGCAGCCATTTAATTTCGGCTATATTCTGCACCGACCCAAAACGCCTAAATTAAAACGCCGATGAAATTTTTCACAGCATCTGTCGCACTATACCATGCCCTCTACCCGGTACCCCACGCCGAAAATAAATCGCCGCCGAAATGTCAAAAATCGCGAAGTGCCGAAATTTTGCAGCGCCGAAATTTTGTATATTTACAGTATCCGGATATTTTTGTGGAAAACGCTTGTGTGCGATTATGCGAGGTCTGACTGTACTAATAGTGCTATGTTCTAGAATCACATGTGACCGCGAACTACACAAAAGAAACCTGATGAGACCAGTCCCAAGAAATTAATTATAAAGAATATGAGAAGGAACCGTGCCAAGTATCGGCTTTAGAAGGAGTGCATCGGCACGAGCCGCTTCCTCCACTGCAACCAGTCTTGCAACCACATAGAAGAAACTCTAGAATAGAGCAAGGTGCGGGTGGCAGCCCGGTCCGATCTATACTGAGACTTCCATCACTCCTGAGTTGCCCACCTGAGGAGATAAGAGTCACATGAAATGTAAAAGTTCATTCATCTTAGTGGACTGCCGTACTCGATTCAACGGAAAATCTACAAACCTAGAAGTATCCAGCATGCATCCTTGGCTTGTTCGAACACAATCCGAACAGTGACTGAAGCGGCATGCGACTCTGAGCTCATGCAGGTAGTCATGGTACGGCGAACCTTTTGTCTTCTCTTGAACACCCTGGTGTGCTGATGGAGTGTCCACAGCACGCACAATGAGGCACCCTCTCCACTAAAATACCTGCTTGATAAATTGCCCGCGGGCAGTGCTGCCTCAAGAATGCATCCCTGCATGCCGGGGGCAGCTGGCTGGACTGGAGGCTCCTGGTGCAGAACAGCCGGTCCAGGTACCTTGCATCGTGGCAGTACTACTAGTAGTGCTATGTTCTACTTCGAAATAGAATCACATGTGACCGCGAACTACACAAAAGAAACCTGATGAGACCAGTCCCAAGAAATTATTTATAAAGAATATGAGAAAGAACTGTGCCAAGTAGTGCATCGGCACGAGCCGCTTCCTCCACTGCAATCAGTCTTGCAACCACAACGAAGAAACTCTAGAATAGAGTGAGGTGCGGGTGGTAGCCCGGTCCGATCTATACTGAGACTTCCATCACTCCCGAGTTGCCATCCCGAGGAGATGAGAGTCACATGAAACGTAAAAGTTCATTCATCTTAGTGGACTGCCGTACTCGATTCAACGGAAAATCTTCAAACCTAGAAGTATCCAGCATGCATCCTTGGCTTGTTCGAACACAATCCGAACAGTGACTGAAGCGGCATGCGACTCTGAACTCATGCAGGTAGTCATGATACCGCGAACCTTTTGTCTTCTCTTGAACACCCTGGTGTGCTGATGGAGTGTCCACAGCACGCACAATGAGGCACCCTCTCCACTAAAATACCTGCTTAATAAATTGCCCGCGGGCAGTGCTGCCTCAAGATTGCCTCCCTGCATGCCGGGGGCAGCTGGCTGGACTGGAGGCTCCTGGTGCAGAACAGTCGGTCCAGGTACCTTGCATCGTGGCAGTACTACTAGTAGTGCTATGTTCTACTTCGAAATAGAATCACATGTGACCGCGAACTACACAAAAGAAACCTGATGAGACCAGTCCCAAGAAATTAATTATAAAGAATATGAGAAAGAACTGTGCCAAGTAGTGCATCGGCACGAGCCGCTTCCTCCACTGCAATCAGTCTTGCAACCACAACGAAGAAACTCTAGAATAGAGTGAGGTGCGGGTGGTAGCCCGGTCCGATCTATACTGAGACTTCCATCACTCCCGAGTTGCCATCCTGAGGAGATGAGAGTCACATGAAACGTAAAAGTTCATTCATCTTAGTGGACTGCCGTACTCGATTCAACGGAAAATCTACAAACCTAGAAGTATCCAGCATGCATCCTTGGCTTGTTCGAACACAATCCGAACAGTGACTGAAGCGGCATGCGACTCTGAGCTCATGCAGGTAGTCATGGTACGGCGAACCTTTTGTCTTCTCTTGAACACCCTGGTGTGCTGATGGAGTGTCCACAGCACGCACAATGAGGCACCCTCTCCACTAAAATACCTGCTTGATAAATTGCCCGCGGGCAGTGCTGCCTCAAGAATGTATCCCTGCATGCCGGGGGCAGCTGGCTGGACTGGAGGCTCCTGGTGCAGAACAGCCGGTCCAGGTACCTTGCATCGTGGCCATTGCTGCACTTGGTTGCAGTGTACAGCATGCAAACGATGTTCTCCAGGGTGGCAATGTGCTCAGCTGGAAGAGTCTCAAACCGGTTTGCTACAGCCATGAATGCGCTACGGGCAAGTGCTAATACTGGCTTGTCGGAGCATAGAAGTTTGAAGGCTGCCTTCTTGCCGCGGCCAGGAAACGCACTAGTCGTGTCGCACCCGGTGAAGGCGTGGAAGCCAGGAAGTGCGCTGCTGACTTCTTGACCCTACTTGTTACTTGCAGCGTTGACGTTTATCCGGCGGAGTATTGACCCAGCCCCGATGAGGAGACTCAGGCTCGTTGGAATAACCTTGCAGAACGCAGTTGACGGTACTGTTGTATCAGTGTCGGGCGTCTTAATTGTAACGTGGGTACAACCGGCGCATGCAACATGTTTTGCATGAAGAAGCAGACGTGTATAGACCTCTTCGTGTGTTCGGACGAGATCTGGAAGCGGCTGAGAAGCTGACAATGCTTCACTGTTCTTGATTATGACACAAGCGAGCGTTTCTGCTCGAGTGTAGGAATGGTAGCGAGTCTTGTGATAATGCACTTCTCTAGCGATCAGGTTCCCTGAACTGATTGCTATCCTTTCATCTTCACATGTGGCGGCAGCGTTCCGCAATTTGTTATCTGCCTCCACTATCACGAGTTGAGATGGCGCCTGCTTCGTTGTACAACTCGCCGATATTTTCAGGGTATCACAAGAAAAGCAGTTCTTGCCTCCTGGTTCAACAGCAGGGGCTCGTAGCGACTGACACGTATTCCTACTGTCAGTGGAAGACTCCTCTGATGCCGTGCAGGTTGTCAGAATATTTTGGCACTTGTGAAAAGACACTTTCATTGTGTGAAGACACTTCAGAGTTGTCTTTGTTTCGTGTTCCGGCCCAAACGAGATGGCACCTGTCCCTGAGCACCAGCAAGTTTGAAACAGTATCAGGAGCCCGTATCCCCCCACTGCTCCACTGTAGTTGCGGACACTTTTAGGTATCGCCAAAAGTACGTGGGACCACTGAGCGCACCCGAGAGCACTAAAATTACATCTGAAGCGCACCACGTGGCGCTCCACGCGTGCGAGATTTCAAAATTTGACATCTTACTTTTGAGCAGGTACGACACGTGCTCAAGCTTACGCTCCGCGAAACTTGCGCATGGATTTGCCCTGAAGACATTCGCCGCTATCGAGAGAGCATCGCAGATCTAGAAGCAGTTCTCGACTGTTTTGGGTACCCTAAGGAGTCCACTTTCACGCCCCACATCGAACCTTGGTGCCCCGTCGAGGTGAACGGAATTTTTTCAGGGCTGCATTTTGAGCACTTGGACTGCAGACTAACAGGGGGGGGGGGGGGGGGGGGGACAGTTACTCCGTAACCCATTTTTTCCATTTTCAAAATAACTGTCTTGCAATGCAAAATGCAACGTATGGGGCGAACACCTTCACACCAGACAAATGTGCCTTTATGAACCCTCTAGTACTGACTATCGACTGCGTTTTCGTTGAATGGCATGAAAAAACACAAAAATCGGAAAATAGGTAGGGTGCACCTTTTCACAGGGGGGGGGGGGGGGGCAAACAGAGTAGGAGGGAAGGGGGGGGGGGGGGGGGCTGCGGCCCCATCCCCTTTGGCTAGAACCCTGATCTTCATTTCAATACTACGGGGTTTGTCTCCTCGCCGATTATTCCTACTGTACATGCCTGTCTGTGCTCTCTTCTCTGTGTGTAGAAACGGAGAGAGTGCGGAGGGACTGAAGCACGGTACCGTGGTGGACATGATCCGACGTTCCACCAACGACCTGCGCCTCACCGTCATCAGCGTCAGCCAGGAAGAGGCGGCACACCTCGACTCCAACGTTGCCATGGCGTCGTCGCAGGCGCCGCACGAGCGCGACATGACGGAGAAGCGCGCACTGCCGATCACCATCCCGGACAGCAAGGACCTGGCTGACAACCAGAGTAGCGAGCCGTACACAGTACGTCCTTGTTGTTGTTTTCTGTAAATATACAAATTTTCGGCAGCTATTTAATTTCGGCTATATTCGGCACCGACCCAAAACGCCTAAATTAAAACGCCGATGAAATTTTTCACAGCATCTGTCGCACTATACCATGCCCTCTATCCCACGCCGAAAATAAATCGCTGCCGAAATGTCAAAAATCGTGAAGTGCCGAAAGTTTGCAGCGCCGAAATTTTGCATCCCCCTGCTCCTATTCTAATGACGTGCCTCCAATTCTGATAGCGTACCACCCTAGTCATTTTTTTCGATTGTTGCTTGTTTTCAGTTGACAAATCAATAGTGGAATATGGAAAAAAATGGGTGACCTGTTTGTTTCACATACCCCCAACAATTATGTTCTGGATAGAACCCTGCATGGATGTTACGCATTACCTCCATGGTGAGGGAATGATCACGGGGATACGCACGCTGACTTCTCCCACCATCGTCGTTATGTTGGTGTGTCTGGGCGCGTGCTTGTCTCCATCTCCCAGGTCTTCAACATCTTTCTGAGTGGTCGTCATGTGGCGGCGCGTCGTTACAGCGAGTTTGATCAGCTTCTCAGCAAGGTTAGTTGAGTGGCCGCTGCAGTAGCATGGGGTGCCGTGCTCGCACACACGGTCATTCCGGTATGCAACAGCTGTGTCTTGGATGGCATCAGATTGCGACATGCGAGTCCTTAGGCACAAGTGAAGGTGTAGACTCCGTATTTCAAAGTTGTATCGATTCGATAGGCGAAACTCTACTGGCTTCTCTTCATTATATGAATTGGACTTCGGCGTGATTTATTGCCTTATCACGTTATTAGTAAAGCCAGGGTCTCCAAGAATCGGTGAATTGATTGTGTGTGTGTGCGTGTTTGTGTGTGTGTGTGTGTGCGTGCGTGTGTGTGCGTGCATGTGTGTGTGTGCGTGCATGCATGCGCACGTGTGTGTATATGTGTGTGTGTGTGTGTGTGTGTGTGTGTGTGTGTGTGTGTGTGTGTGTGTGTGTGTGTGCATGTGTGTGTGTGCATGCATGCGTGCGCGCGTGTGTGTGTGTGTGTGTGTGTGTGTGTGTGTGCACATACATGCGTGTGTGTGTTTGTATGCACGCATGCATGTACATATCTCTCTTTGCATGTAAATTTGGGCACAGCTGAAAGAGCGGTTTCCAGACTTCCCCTTTCCTCGCCTGCCAATGAAGTGGCCATGGAAGCTGAACGCACAGGCAACTGATCAGAGACGCCGTGGCTTGGAGGAGTGGATTGATCAAGGTGAGAGCATGCCTGGGTCAGAGCAAAGGACGGTGAGAGAGAGTGTGCGAGAGAGAATGGGAGAGACTCAGAATATTGAAAACTGACTTTCAAAACAGGAGGACGATTGGAGAGCGATGACGTTATCTCTACATGCTCCTGATGAGCTATTTCACACACACACACACACACACGCACGCACGCACGCACGCACGCACGCTTGCATGCACGCACGCATGTACGCACACACACAATTTCTTCACACTGCAGTCCTTGTCGTGGGACAAACGTTGGGCCATGCTCCCTATTTTTTAACAGTACCGTATTTCACCGAATACAAGTCGCACCTTTTCACACTAAAATTCAAGAGCAAAGAAGGGGGTGTGACTTACAATCGAGCGTGATTTCCAACTTATGTGAATGCATGGAAACAATTTGGCTCAGACCTGAAAATGGGAGTTCGACTTAGTGTCGAGGGCGACCGTAACAATCGGAAAATAGAGGTCCATCTTTTTTTTGTAGTGGTGAAACGAATGTCAAAACCTAGTAGTCGAATATTCTTTGGCTTAACGAACGAACGAACGGATATTCTTTTGGCAACACAGATGACATCACATGACCTCCTCTCAATCATTTGATGGATGGTGTCATTGTTATTAGGTATGACAAACGGTAGTGCCACATAAAATGCACTGCCACATAAGGCTACTTCGAAGTTTATACATGTTGTTTGCAACTAGTGTTGAAACGAGCGTATCTATAACAAACGAGCGATCAGTTCCACTAACGAGCAAGCTATCGAGCGAGCTAACGAGTTTCATTGATGTGGCAAATATGATTATTTTTTTGAATTTTTTTTTAGTTCGATTTTTTTCAGCTGGTTCAAATTACATGAATTATCACCGCCGGCATTTGGGGTTGCTGCTGCTTCACTTCGGACTGCTGTTTGGTGTCGAGATGTCTTTTCAGCGCCGTCGTCGATTAGCCTTTGTAAGAATAGACCGTTTTGCAAAGATTGCAAGTAGCCCTGGTCTTCGCTGCACCGCGGGAGAAAACTTCCAAACGACTGAGCGTAACTTTCACTCGAATGGAGAGGTGACCGAAGCATATCCTGCGACAGGTCAGCAGATGCGGAACAAGACATCAGTAGAGTCCACCAAAGCTGCAACGACAACTGAAACAACTCAAGTGTCGTGCAGGCATACAGTCACCTGTAACTGCGAGTGATTTTCACTTTGCGCGGGACTGGACTCTCGATCGACCAGGGTGTCGTAAAATATTTTACGACTCCCCGGTCGACATTTACTGCCATGTGTACGGAGTACGGTGTACGGTGTTCGTTAGTGCAAACGAGCTGGCCGCACAAACGAGCCGAGTTTCTGGCGAGCGAGCTAACGAGTATCCGGTGAGATCGTTTCAACACTATTTGCAACATTGGCAGTCCAGTGTGCACGTACATGTGCAAACATGCAGTACAAAGTCACAGGCAGGCTGTACGCACTGCACTGTACTGTGTTTGGCGTGCACGTATGTACATGCACTGCATTCGAAGTGACGTCACGAATACTCAAATGCGACTTAAAGAATATTCGAATGTGACCAATCGAACGAATGTTCGAATATTCGAATATTCGTTTCACCACTATTTTTTTGTATTGTGCAAAGAATCTCTTCTTGACCCACTCCAGTTGCATGCATGCATGCATGCATATGCAATATATGGGCACAAGACAGATGGCATACAGTGAAGCTTGGTTATAACGACATTGGTTATAACGACAGATCAGCTACAACAACAAAAAATCCATGGCAGCAGCAATTTTGTATTGATTTCTGTTCTAAAAAAGATCGGTTGCAACGACAACTCGAATAACGACAAATCGAGAATGACGACCAAATTGTCATGCACCGTAGTGTGAAAATGGGTAAAAATAACGACATTCTCACGACTGCGACATACGATGTATGATCGATTCTGGCTTTCACAGCTGCCGCGAGACGGGTGCACAAGATCGTACAGTGCAGTCTAGTGTACATCAACTGTACACTGCACTGCACTGCACCGCACTGCACTGCACACTCGTAGTCATACACGCCCGGAATTATTTGAAGGAGTGTCGACATGTCGTAGATCTACTGACGGTAAAATACGTGTACTGTGTACAGCTGTAGTGCGCACTTACCCTCCGTACCCTCCGTATCTTCTGCGACGGATTTTCGCAACATTCGCCATGCTTCTTTCTCAGTTGTCGTTGGACCAAAGACTTGGAAGTTTGAGATGTCTCGCCCTGTCTCTGTTGGAAAGCGAAAGCGCTTCTCCTACGCGGAAAAGTACGCCATTCTGCAGGAGCTGGACAAAGGTGCAAAGCGGACTTCCGTTCAAGAAAAGTATGGAGTCGCGCACGGTACTCTCGCTGGCTTCATCAAGAACCGAGAGGAGATTGTGGCCAAAGTGAAGAAAGCGACGTCAATGGATGCCAAGAGCACTAGGCAGTCGAGTTTTCCTGAGTTGGACAAAGCGCTCCTTGTGTTCAGTTGAAAAAAGCACCATTGTGCAGAAAATTAATTTTGCCTCGTTTTGGTGTGGATATTGTGTTGGAAATCCCAAGATCGGATATAGTGACAGATCGCAAATAAGGACTTTTTTGGCGTTATAACCAAGCTTCACTGTACATGACTGATTTCCGAGGAACGTCAGGTCACTTTATGCTTTCTGAGCAAGATCAACCATGCCCAGACAGGGCCAGTCGGCTTGAATAGAGTGCTCAATGCAACAATGTGCACTTAAAGTTGTCCTTTCGTGCCGTATGTACATGTGTGTGTGTGTCCGTGTGTGTGTGTGCGCGCGCGTGTGCCTGCGTTCGTGCATGTGTACATGTGTGTGATCAAAGAATCATGCAGTTGGCATGCCATGTTTCCACGGAAACACCTCCGTTGTTGCCACGGTTTTGATCACAGTTCAACGTGCGGTTGTCTGTATGTTCTGTTCTGATCAGTGTGTGCGTATAGAGCCATAGCCGAGGATGAGGTGATGATGGAGTTCTTGAAGCAAGGACAAGGAGCCAAGGTATGCATGTGCATGTGTTTTGTCAGCTCCTGGAACTGCGCATCTTTCATGCGTTTTTTTGTCTCTTTTTTCATTATTTAAACTCGGATGTTGAGCCAAAGTACTAGTAATCATGGATAAAAAGAAAGGACAATGTTAGTCATAACGTGTTGTCTTTTCTTTTCATTATTTGTTTATTTTTTTCCTAAGAACACAGCCCTACTGAGAATCTTGCCCACATCCTGCCATCTCTCCCCTTTCCTCTTTCTCTCGTCCAATGCATTTGGCATTCGCAAAGCTGTGGACCCAGCGGCCTGTTGATGCACTTTAACAGACAGAGTACATGGACCTACACGTTGTTGTTGCTCCATACTTATCCGCACACAGTGTAGCTATGGCGAGTGTCCACCACACAGTGCAGCGTCCCTGGCAATGACATCATGCTATCTCCCTGATGCTGTAAACTGCCTAATATTCGCGACAGATTAATGTTCGCTATTTTCGCGAGACGAGCGTAACGCGAATATTCACCATCGTGAAATCTAACTTCAACAGTGGGTGGATTTAAGTGGCCCCAGTATTTCGCGAACCTTTGCCATCGCAAACTCGCTGGTTCTAAGAAATCGCGAAAATTTAATGACGCGAATATTGGTCGGTTTACAGTACTGGCCACGGCTACTACTGGCCTCTCCAAGAGTACATAACCCCCAAGAGCGTGCTTGCCACTCCCTGCATGACCTGCTACCATTTCCAGTTGACGTCATTTTATGATGCAATGCTTTTTTGCACCAGTGATTTACACACATTTGTACGAGGTGTCCACGCATCACATGTGTTTCCTTGAACTAGTTTGTACAGGATACGAACGGGGCTTGATCCACCACAGGTCCAGGATACGTCTCATTATACGTGTACAGCGCTCATTGCAGCATAAAAATGACGTCAACATGAAATTATGCCTGGACAGCACCCGTAGTGGAGTTGCACACTCTTGGGGAGTTATGTACTCTTCGTCTCTCCAGGTGCACAGCGCGCATTCATTTTGTTTATGTCATAGCATAGTTCTGTATCTCTATCACTCTTATTGAGTACGGCTGTCAGTAGACTGATAGAGATAATCCAGGATTCCATCGCCCCATGCTGTACGCTTGGGAAAAGTATCTGGATTATTTAAATAGGCGACACGGAGGCAGTAATTTAATCAAGGCTATGGATAAGGTTAGATATGAATAATGGTTACTCATTACATTGGACTTTCTTGTGTTTTGGTGACGACGGCACATCTAAACCCATTCGTATCTGGATTATTATTATTTTGCTATCTTTGTCGTTTGATACCACAGCCATCGTCACCAAAGGCCACCACGCCTACAAAACGAACCGTTGAGCTGCGCGCCATCCTGCCGGATTCAAGAGCCGTATCCATCGATGTTGAGCAGGCAGCAAGCTGCACGTCCGTGTTTGAGGTGAGGACCCTTACTGCTACTACTACTACAATGCTGGCCAAATAAATCCAGCCTAATGAATAAAGTAGCGCCGCGTTAGACTGCAGTGACCAGTATGTGTAGAGCTAGGGCTGCGTAGCGCCCGGCGCTATTTTATTCATGCGGTTGGATTTCTTTGGCCAGCACTGTAGTTGAGCACGGCCCACTCTGTCTTTTGCTTTTGATATTACGCTCTCCTCTCCCCCACTTCTGCCATTCCATGTGTCTCATCGCTGCCTTGCTGCTTTGTGCCGTCAAATGGTGCGTGTATTTGTAAAAAAAAAGAGTTTTATGTGTCTCATTTGTCCGGCTGCTTCTAAGTGGGTTCCACTGTACTCTGACCCAGACCGTGAAGCAAAGCATTGAACGCTCTTTCTTCTTTCTTCTTTCTTTTTAACCCCCCCCCCCCCCGGTGCGCGTTGTGTGCAAGGATACCGAGACGTTTGGTCGGAGGAGTTCACAACGCCCCACCTACACAACGCCCCACCTACGCAGCTGCGCAAGTGGATACTAGCAGTCAGCCCCGACTCAATAGTTGTTTGTTCTGTCAACCCTCAACTTCTGTGTTCTAGTCGTTTCTTCGTTCTCCCTGCATGCAACTTTGTTATCTTTCTTGTTCTTATCTTTCTGTCTCGAGCCGGGTTTGTGTTCTTTGTAAAAAGAAAGAAAAGCAGTGTACCCAGTTAGTGTTTACCGCCCTGGTATGTACTGCAGTCAACCTTTTGAATAACGACCTCGGGAATAAATGTACAGTCGACTCCACTTATAACGAACTCGCATTATAGCGAATTTCGGGATAATTATAACGACCCCTTGTCCATGTCCCCGTTTGAACCCAAACAAAATTGACATTTCTTGGTGGGACCGTTTTCGTTTACAACTGACCACGTCTTGTAGGGCCGCATGTAAACCAAGTGCACTCATACTGTCACGGGCCACTTGCCAGTCATGACATGCTGCTTGTATAGTGTGTGAGTGCATTTCTGTTATAACGAACTTCTGTTATAACGAACTTCTGTTAGAACGAACTTCTGTTATAACGAACTTTGGCGCAATGGTGTTCGTTAGATCAGGAGTCAACTGCATCAACAACTCACGAACAGCAACACAATCTTCGGACCTAGTGATCATTTGATTGCATACGCGTGCTTTTAACCTCACATAATAATAACATCAACTTACGAATAACGAGACATGTATCATGCACGATCGAAGGTCGTTAATCGCAAGGCTGACTGTAGTACATCAGTCGCCGTCCTTGTCCGCAGTTCACATCAACTGCTGTACATGTACATCATGCTGCTACCTTTTGTCCCAGTTCACAACTAAGAAACAAGCAAAACTTATTCTCAGCACACCGAATTAAGTATTTCTGCTTCTCTGATATCTTGGGAACTTCCCTAATGCTATAATTATATGCTGCTCCGGTCACTGTCATTGTCTAACTCTTCCTCCTTATTCAGAGCGTTTGCGGGAAAGCTAAGCTATCGACGGAAGCAAGCTGTTACTTTGCGCTGTTTGAAGTCAACGAAGCGGACAAATTCTGTAAGTAGAGGTTGTTAGTAGGTGTGTCTGGTCTGGTCCGGGAGTGGAAGGTGGTCAATATCCCCATGAGCCCATGCTGTGAAGACTGTATCTGGAAGGGCTCTGGCTGGGTGCGGGCAGCAAACTGATGGACAGGCGGACGGATGGGTGCGCGCATTTGTGTGTATGTGTGTCTGAGGCAGAGGGAGAGAGAGAGAGAGAGAGAGAGAGAGAGAGAGAGAGAGAGAGAGAGAGAGAGAGAGAGAGAGAGAGAGAGAGAGAGAGAGAGAGAGAGAGAGAGAGAGAGAGAGAGAGAGAGAGAGAGCGTGTTTTGTGCGTGTGTGTGTGTGTGTGTGTGCATATGTCATTGGGAGCTTCAAACCTGTTATCTCACTATTGCCATGCTTTTACTGGACATTCAGTGTGCGTTTTGTACGCTTGACCGTTTCCCCTCAGATCGGAAAATCCGGCCAAACGAGTTCCCTCATCGCATCTACACCACAAACCACCCATCTCAAACATCCTCATCTGTTTTCCTAAGGAGATGGATCTTCACTCCATATAAGGTACGCGTATCCCGTTATCGTCCGAACCCAATCATGTTGTCACGTGTTTTTTGAAGAATTATCATGGCTCAGTTGAAGAGCACAGTCCCACATACAAATCCATGCATGGCTAAGGTCAGCTGGGAGGCCATATTATTTTCTTCTGGCAATGCCATTGTTGGCGCATTGCACATGAACTTGCCAAGTCACATGCAACATCATGACTAAGAATATCCCTGATTATACTCTCCTACATTGAAAATTTGGAAGCAATCCTTGTGTGTGGTGTAACCCTGGACTGTTTGTGCGCAGGCTGGAGGTTTAGTGGGAAGATAAACTCACAAAATTAATGCAGACTCGATTCGAAAGCCGCCAACCATGGTCACCATGGCGAAGCAATGCGTAACGATACTTGCAGTGCTGGCGTTCACTGGTCCCGCAGAAAGTTGTCTTGTGCACGTGAAGCTGCGTAGGGGCGTAGTATAGGGAAATCAGAGATAACTCGGAAGGACCGAGGGCAAGGTCGTAAGATGGTTTTGTTTTTACCTGGTTGCCAACGTTACAATGTGAATGTTATGTGTACTGGAGGAGGGAACTTACTTGCCTTTCAATTACAAGTACACTTTTGACAGCTCGTAGCAGGGTTGAAGAGGTGCTTCGTAACCATCCCATGTGACCAGTGTGACTAGCAAGCCATGTCGTTCTTGTTTGTATGCCTTGTGTAGGAGCTAACGATGAGGAAGGACGAGGTTGCACTCAATTTCTTCTACAGGCAGGTAAGGCTGTACGAATGCAACATGTGGTGCAACATCTCCGTTTCCTGGCTTTGTGCTGTGCATGTGTGGGAATGTGAGGCAATCCAGCAATGGTGTGCTGTCATGACACGCACACCATGCATGTCTGTCTCAAATGTCTGTGCTGCCATAGCCTCAGACCCATGTAGAGCCCAGAACAAGCTGGCACAGTCTACACTCAGACCTCGCTTTTCCGGTCCTCTTTTATCCGGATCCCTCGCCATGACTGGTTGCCGATTTACAGCATTTGTCATGCATACACACAGTATGTGCGTTCGATTATCCGGTTCCCTCGTCTATCCGGATATATTTTGGAAAACGGATGTGTGCGGTTAGGCGAGGTCTGACTCGATTGTGGACATAGCTGCCGTCGGCGTATTGTGAACAGCACTTGTCTGTTGGTGTTTATTATGTGCATCGAGTCCTTTTTTTGTACACTGTTGAGCATGGGGTGTTGCATCCGCTGTGTGGACTGCATGGGTTGTTGCATCCGCTGTGTGGACTGCATGGGTTGTTGCATCCGCTGTGTGGACTGTTCTCAGGGCGAAATAGCCCAACATATAGGCATGCACATTGTTGCTGTTGCTGCCTCCGCCGCCATCGTCGTCGTCATCATTGCTGGCGTCATGGCTACTGTGGTTGCTGCTGCTGCTCTGGTTGCTACTGCTGTGGTTGCTGCTGCTCTGGTTGCTACTGCTGTGGTTGCTGCTGCTGCTGTGGTTGCTGCTGCTACTGCTGCTGTGGTTGCTGCTGCTGTTGCTGCTGCTGCTGCTGTGGTTGCTGCTGCTACTGCTGCTACTGCTGCTGCTGCTGTGGTTGCTGTTGCTGCTGTTGCTGTGGTTGTGGTTACTGCTGCTGCCTTGTTGTAATTGGATTACCAAACCAGGCCCGACCTAGTTACATGAGCACAGTACCCGATATGTGAGTTTGACTTGTGCATCTTGGCATTTCACAGAAGCGGAAAGGTAACTCTAGACGTAGCTGGTGTGCAAGTCTGTCTAGTCCAGTATCCGTGTATCATGCCCTTTGGGAATCATGTCTTTCTTTCAGGCGAAGGAGGATGTCCAGAAGAAAAGGATAGTGGCAACAACTGCTGAGGTGCGTGGCTTGCAGGCGCTTGCTGAAGCTGAAGAGAAAGTGAAGGTGAGAGAGTGTGGGAGTCGTCTTCTTGCTTATTTTGAAATTGCCATGACTCAAGAATCCTTTGCTTTTCGGTAAGTGAAACCTCGGTAAGAAGAAGACAAACTTTTGCTTTAGAAGAATTAGTAGTCATAAGTCTACTGGATAAGTCCTGTGTATTTACTGGGTATAGAATTTGTCTAAGAAGAACTCCTTTTGTTGTGAACATATACTAAGTCTTGTACCATCAGTTTTCTTGGTGTTCTCCTGAAGATAATTGACTGTATCTGTAAAGTCCTGAACAGCATCCGATTGAAGGGTTAACACCACTGGAGCTTTCTTATAATCATAGTGTGTGTATGTGTGCGTGCGTGCGTGAGTGCGTGCGTGTGTGTGTGTGTGTGCGTGTGTGCGTGGGCGTCTGTGTGTTTATTTATTGCTGCTTTCCAGTACCTGAAGGCTGTACGCAAGATTGACAAGTACGGCGGTGTGACGTTCCCGCACTGTCCGTGTGACATGCGTAAGACCGGCAAGATCATGGTAACTGTGCAGAGAGCTGGACTGCTCTTTGCCGCCTGTGACGACGATGGAGTACTGCAGGTATGTGTGCGTGCGTGCGTATGTGTGTGTGTGTGTGTGTGTGTGTGTGTGTGTGTGTGTAGGTGTGTGTGTGTGTGTGTGTGTGTGTGTGTTTGTGCGTGTGTGTATGTGTGTGTGTGTGTGTGTGTGTGTGTGTGTGTGTGTGTGTGTGTGTTTGTGTGTATGCATGTGTGTGTGTATGCGTGTGTGTCACTGTGTGTGTGTGTGTGTGTGTGTGTGTGTGTGTGTGTGTGTGTGTGTGTAGGTGTGTGTGTGTGTGTGTGTGTGTGTAGGTGTGTGTGTGTGTGTGTGTAGGTGTGTGTGCGTGTGTGTGTGTGTGTTTTGTGCGTGTGTGTGTGTGCTCATGTGTGTGTGTGTGTGTGTGTGTGTGTGTGTTCGCATGTGTGTGTGTGTGTGTGTGTTTGTGTGGGTGTTCGCGCGCGCGCGCGCGCGCGTGTGTGTGTGTGTGGGTGTGCGTGGGTGCGTGCGTGTGTGTAGGTGTGTGTGTGTGTGTGTGTGTGTTTGCGCGCGCGTGTGTGTGTGTGTGTGTGTGTGTGTGTGTGTGTGTGTGTGTGTGTGTGTGTGCTCATGTGTGTGTGTGTGTGTGTGTGTGTGTGTGTGTTTGCATGTGTGTGTGTGTGTGGGGGGGGAGGGGGGGGGGGGTGTTCGCATGTGTGTGTATGTGTGGGTGGGTGTGTGCGTATGTGTGTGTGTGTGTGTGTGTGTGCGCGCGTGCGCGCGTGTATGTGTGATCCGCTATCGTTGCTATAAGAGAAAATCTGTGTGCGCACATCCAGTGCATTTGTGGATTTGCGTACTTCTCTTGCAATGGGCGTATGCATGGTACATGGTGTGTGTATACGTGCGGCACAAGTGCTCGCGTTTCTTTTGCACATATATCGGTACCAACACTGTGAGCAAGTCAGTGAACGCACTACAGTCAGACCTCGCTTATCCGTCCTCTTTTATCCGGATCCCTCGCCATCCGGAAGAAAGTCGCTGGTTACCGATTTACAGCATATGCCATGCATACATACAGCATGTGTGTTCGATTATCCCGTTCCCTCGCCCATCCGGATATTTTTCTGGAAAATGGATGTGTGCGGTTATGCGAGGTCTGACTGCATGTTGTTCAGGACAAGAGGAAGCCGTTTTGGATTGATCCGGCCCTACACTTGTCCTTCATACTGTGTCTATGAACAGCTAGTCCAGCCATGGCCTGACTAACCGCACTTGTTCCACCGCCTCATATCAGGAATCATTTCGATTAAAAGTGTGTGTGTGTGTGTGTGTGTGTGTGTGTGTGTGTGTGAAGGGATGGTAAACAATGTATGTCGATGATTTGTATGAGAACATTCTGAAGGTTCACTGATTGCTCAACATTCTTTGTGTGATGTTGGTTACAGGGACAAGAGACTGCCTTTGGCTGGTCGGACATTCTGGTGTACGAAACCGATCTCGAGGAGGAAGCATTTGTCTTGAAATACACTCGCAACAACAAGGAGAAATTTATGCGCGTGTATTCGAAATACGTACGTACACAATGCATACCTCTCTTCCCTTGTGCACACCTGGGATTACCGGGTGGTCCCCTTATCCAGGGCCGTGTGACTGGAAATATCATCCCTTAGTCGTTGCTGCAGTGGTCTTCTGGAGCTGGCGGTTTCCTTGACAGGGTTTACTGCACATGTGTTTCCTTGTATTGCAGGTTTGAGGGAATGACAGGCTGTGCTTTGTGTTGCTGTTGTTTCAAATCTTTATTCTCACGATAGCCAGTGGCCAATAAGAGATAATAGTGTAAGAAAGGAGAAAGAGTGAGGAAGAATTGGGTGGGCAGAGCCTAGGGGTTAATGACTACTTAAGTGTACGGGCAGGGGTGGTTGCTACACGAGTTGTTGTTGTTGTTGTTGTTGTTGTTGTTGTTGTTGTTGTTGTTGTTGTTGTTGTTGTTGTTGTTGTTGTTGTTGTTGTTGTTGTTGTTGTTGTTGTTGTTGTTGTTGTTGTTGTTGTTGTTGTTGTTGTTGTTGTTGTTGTTGTTGTTGTTGTTGCTGTTGTTCCTGCTGCTGTTGTTGTTTGCTTATGTCGCGGTGATTGGAATGTAGGAATACAAAACAATGTGGCATGTGTGTCCTGGTATGTGTTCATGTGCGCATCAATTTGTGAGCATGAATGTGTGTGTGTGTGCGTGCACGCGTTTCCGTGTGTGTGTGTGTGTGTGTGTGTGTGTGTGTGTGTGTGTGTGTGTGTGTGTGTGTGTGCGTGCACACATTTCCGTGTGTGTGTGTATGTGTGTGTGTGTGTGCGCGCGCGTGCGTGTGAGCATCTGTGCGCATGCACGCACGCATCTGCCCTCGTTTTCTGTGTTGTTCTCTGCAGTATGAGTACATGCTGGATTGTGTAGAGAAAGCTCACGAGGAACAAGAGTGGGAAGACGAGGTAAGAGTTTGAGGTTTCAATATTTTCTTTGCAAGGAAAACTGTGACATATTTGTCCGATTCTAAGTAAAGGGTAGGCTAGTTAATAATTAAACTTAATTAGCCTAAAGCATGGAGCTCAATGTTTCTACGCAACTATGACAAACGTGTGTAATGTTCCCAATGCTAGTCTATTCCTGACGACAACTTCTTCTTCTTCTTGGTCGATCAAAAGTTGGAGTTTATTGTGCAAAAGAATGGTGACTGCTCCCAGCGGCAGCTCACGTTTCCAGCTGACTGTCCCTAACCCCTAACCACCTCACAGCTGCTATACAGAGAATGAAGGCACTTTTCAGTTGCAGGCCATTATAAAAATCTGTTGGCTGCTGCCAGGCAGGTCATGCTTTCGGTCGAGTGAAACTTGACTGTCTCATGACTGCTATTCCAAGTACATGGAGAGAATGTTGAGCCTTCTAATGGGCAAACCTGGAAAAAAGCACCATTCTCAGCTCAACACACAGCGTTTTTTTCAGTTCTTGGAATGTGACCATGTCCCTTGTACTCTCCCCCCCCCCCCCCTCGGCATAGGGTTCGAGTCGTGCAACATAGGGATCCACGAATACAACACACAGTGTTTTTGTCAGTTCTTGCAATGTAACCATGTTCCTTATACTCTTTCCTCCCCCCATTCTCTGCATAGGGCTCTAGTAATGGCAGTTCTGCTGGTCTAACTCCAGTCACGTCCGAGCCCACATCACCGACAACAGCCGAGCCATTGGCAGCCGCCGTCGCAGCCACAGCTAGCTCTGATCCTGCCCCGGCTGCAGCCGAAAACAAACCAAAGAAGAAGAAGAAGCCTGCAGCCACCACCGCTACCGCCGATGCAACGGCCGGCGGAGGAGAGGCTGAGAAGGCGAGCGAGAAGGCGACCGCCAAGGCGAGTTCCAAAGGCGACGGCGAGAGCAAACCCAAACCGCGCAAGAAGCCAAAGGCAAAGCCGGCGCCTGCACCCGCTGAGGATGAGGACCCGAACGACGGCCTGTGATCCGCTGATGACGAGGACCCGAACGACGGCCTGTGATCCGTTGATTTTAGGCTACCGTACTCACGGCGCACAAGAGAATTTGATATCCAGTGAACGAGGACTGATTATTTAAGGCGGTAGGATTGTTACTAGGGCATTTGTTGGTTGCTAGCTAATTTTTCTCATGTTCCTGCCTTAGTGGCTTGCGTAGATAGCTTTGTTGCGTATGTGTGTTGATTGCGAGTGTCTGGCCTGAGGTGAATCGGAATGCTTCTGAGCTTAGTATTCTTCGTCGTTCGGTAAGGACCTTATTTACCTCTGCTAAGATGTCGCAAGGCATGTCACTGCGGATTTCTGGCATGGTTTGTATTGTAGCACGGCGCCAAGGAGCACAGCGTGCCCGTTCTCCAGTCATATGCGTTCCTTGTGACTGCCTGTGTGATCTAGTGTGTTTATTTTTATTTTTTTAAATAATACTTGTTGATGTGGTGATCTTGCGTCGCTCACAATTGGCTAAGTCGGTGAACGGTGGCACTGTATTGTTTCTAACTTTTCTTTTCGGCAAAGCAGTGACGGCACTCTGTTGCCGCGGATGCACGTCCCCATGCCTACGATGCTCTCTATTTTACTTCACGCCTGGAAGACGTGTAACTATAATTATTATGTTTTTACAATCATATCCCTTTATCATCCCCTCCCAGTCGGCCTGCATGCTATTTCCATGCATTTAGTGGCGTGCCCTGCATTGACAGGGCTCCTTCTTTTAGGACATTGTTTCTAGAAATTCGGCTCAATGCCACCATAATGGCCATAGCGCTTTGCTGATTGGATGCAGCTGTGAAGTTTGCAGCTAGCTGCATGGTCACGATGACGTCAATGGTGTTTGCCATGGTATTATTATTTTATTGAAAGCGTACTTCCTGTACTAGTAGGACGGGTTTACTGGTCATGCATGCGCTGGTTTGGAGGCACGATCCTATGCATACACTGGAGCGAGATGCTGAGTGTTGGGCTCCCGGTGCCGAGACGTGGGGGCTGACATCCCACAACTAAAGTGTTACTTTTGCATGTCTAACCCCGGAGACGAAGTGTATGGCGGTACTGGCCCAAGTAATTCTACAGTTCGTGGGTAAGTGGGATTCAAAAGGCGGGTAGCCTCGCCCTAGGTGTAACTTACTTCAGTCTAAAAATAATAGTTTGAAACTCGGGCATTGAGCCAATAATTAAAAGGAGAAAGGAAAAAAGACATATTATGGAAACGAGTTAAGAGTAACTCTCCACCACTGTAACTGTAACTATAATATATATATTATATTATTATCTAGTTACAGTGATGGAGAGTTACTCTTAGACTCGTTTCCATAATTATTATTATGTCTCCTTTATTCACTTCTTTCGAAGGCGATAAGCCAGACCCACCGGGAAATATTTCCATGGGTGGGACAGCAAAAAGAAAGTGAAAAAATAAAAAAGCTAAAAACCAAAGGGACAAGAAGTAGTTGCAGGGAGAGGAAGAAAGGAAAGAAACTCAATCCGAACTCCAACATCAAAACAATAATAAAGAATTTGCAGAGACAGGCAAAGTACATCAACCAATGAAGGGAGTAACAAAGGAAATATCAGTCTTTATCAGTCGTTGTTCAAGTCTCTTAGCTACTGTAAGACATGTATATATAACGAGGAAGCAAATCTAACGTTTTAACGGATGACATTTCTTCGTTATAATAAGATCCGTTGAGGCCGTACTGCTTCATATATGCTGTGTGTGGATATGGCAGAATACTGCAAGATCGTTAACATATCTTCTCGTTAACCTATGAATTTTGGACAATCGTTAAATTTGCGACTCGTTATAATAACATGTCTTACAGACTTGAACATGCAAACGCAGCAGAGGTGCATCAACATGTTAAGGATAGTTCTTAGTATTTTAATCGAACCTTGGATAGCCTCCTGTTGCACAATAGCCAAGTCTCCTCCCTGCACAGTCCGAAGGCATTGAGGAGTCTCCCCCACCAAGCCTCCCAGGGCACCGACAACCACAGGGACCACGTCAACCTGGGTGAGGGACCAAATCCTGGAAATCTCCCGCTTCAAATCATAATATTTCGAGCGCTTTTCAGCCATTTTCTTATTGATGTTGTTCTCACCAGGAACGCTGATGTCTATAATGTAGGCGATGCGCTCCTTGTCATCAACAAGGAGCAGATCGGGCCTGTTTGCTGATAGTTTCAGGTCAGTTGGGACCGAATACTCCCAATAGAGGCGATACCGATCACTTTTGACCAATGCCTTAAGCTGGTGGTCGAAGCGTGAAGCACCAGTAGGTAGATCTCGTGCTCTACACATTTCGAAGTGCACATACTTTACTATCCGGTTATGTCGTTCGATGTAACTGGTCCGAGCAAGAACTGGGCAGGCACTGACAATGTGTTCAATTGTTTCTAAGCTGCCCTTGCAAAGCCTGCAATTGGCATCAGTTCGAGCAATTCACTTCATTATGGCGTATTGGTAATTTTTCGTTTTGAGGGATTGGTCTTGTGCTGCCATAATCATGCCTTCAGTTGAAGGTTTCAGTGTCATTGATTTCAACCACATGAAGGTAAGCTCCTTATCTAGGCGATTCTCCTCCAATCGGCTCCAATATCTCCCATGCAGCGGCATAGTGGAAAGTGTTTTGGATTTTCGCTCGGCGCACGCTTGTTTAATGGTATGCTTATTGGGTAAAGCTGGTCCAGCTGCTGGCAGATCCAAACTCGACAGGAACTTAGCGGCCTTTGCAGTTATTGAGTGGCTTTTTGTTGTAGGTTTTTGTTGATGATACTGATAAAGCAGGCTTATTCTGTCTATTGGGTTGGTACTCATGTAGCGGGCCAGGCCACACATGCTCCGGCCGTGCATATCCTCACAAGAGACCAAGCCCCGGCCTCCATCTCCCCTCTTCATGTAGAGCCTGTTGACTGAGGCTTTGGGGTGGTGAAATCCAGACGCAGTCAAGGCTGATCTTGTCGCTCGATCTGTGGTCTTGATTTCAGCCTCGGTCCAATTTACGATTCCATAACTATATGTCATAACCGGCAGAGCATACGTATTGATGGCCTTGATCATGTTTCGCGCATTCAATCCACTGTTAAGAAGCAAATGTAACCTCTTTTTGTATTCTGCAGTGAGTTGCATCTTGAGCTGCGGGTGAGGTATCATGGCTGCTTGCACTACTCCAAGGTACTTGTATGTTTCATTGAGTCGTAGCGACTCTGCAATGGCTCAACACACAGCGTTGTTCAGTTATTATTATTATTATTATTAAAAGTAGAAAGGAAAAGGACATATGGAAACGAGTTAAGAGTAACTCTCACCATTGTAAATAGATATTATACAGTCAGAAAGTGCAACAATAGGCACAAAACTCACAGAGTACTGAGACATTCGACGTCCTGACACCTAGCTTCAACACATTCCCGTAGCGCTAACCGACAGCCTTCAAACTTGGAAGGTTCAAGGTTATGGAAAGACCAAAGAGGGGAAGGCAAGCGCAACGAAAACGAGCAAGTTGGAAGGCTGTCGGTTGGCGCTACGGGAATGTGTTGAAGCTAGGTGTCAGGACGTCGAATGTCTCAGTACTCTGTCAGTTTTGTGCCTAGTTGTTGCACTTTCTGACTGTATATAGTATCTATTTACAATGGTGGAGAGTTACTCTTAACTCGTTTCCATATGTCCTTGTCCTTTCTACTTTTATTATTGGCTCAATACCCGAGTTTCAAATTATTATTATTATTATTATTATTATTATTCAAGTAACTAGCGCGAGAAAATGAGAGCTGAAAGAAGCATTACATCAATCAACGATATCAGGTGACAACAGATGCGATAAATTCACCACTAGAAAGTAACCTAGATTGGATCAGTAGTTCTCGTTTGTGGATGCATGGTTACTTTCTAGTGGTGAATTTATCGCATCTGTTGTCACCTGATATCGTTGATTGATGTAATGTTTCTTTCAGCTCTCATTATTATTATAATTATTATTATTTAAATAATCGACGCGGAGACAACAATTTTATAATAGCTATAAAGAGAACAAATTCTGCTGTCATCGCCACACTACAACAAAGTCATGAAGGTTTACCAAAATCGATTTTCTTGTCACAATCATCAGTGGAAAGCCGTGACTGAAGAATAACCATGCCAAATCAATAATTTATATACATTGATTTCAATAATGTGTAGCTCTCACTTTACTTCTATTGTCTCACCTTCCCTCATACTATTTTTAGCACTTTGTTTTGTTCTCGTAACACATTATTGAATGTATATAAATTATTGATTTGGCATGGTTATTCTTCAGTCACGGCTTTCCACTGATGATTGTGACAAGAAAATCGATTTTGGTAAACCTTCATGACTTTGTTGTAGTGTGGCGATGACAGCAGAATTTGTTCTCTTTATAGCTATTATAAAATTATTATTATTCTCAATTCATGGATGACATGGTGTCAACCAATATCATGAATGAGGGCTACCAGCCATGGAATAAAAGAACAAGAAGGCAAAAATGCACACGCAAAATATGGCAAGTTAAATGAAAATGAAATATGAAATAAAAGTAAATCGTAGACCCCATATGCTACCTGTATAATTCATTTGGGTTTTGGATTGATTTTTATAATTGATTTTGGTTTTGGATTGGGTCTACGACGGATCACCGAAAACGGGTTCACCGAAAGAAAGTTCACAGAACGACACGACCTCGAACGACATTTCACCGAACGTCAATTCACAGAAAAGCCTGCCTCACCGAAACGACGATTGACCGAAATGAGATTCACAGAATGTATGGTACACCGAAAGACATTTCACAGCGGTATCTTTCACCGACTGATCGCTTCACAGAATACCACCCCAGAAAGTCAAATCCACGTCGAACTCAGGATGTCATTGTTTGGAGAAGCGCATTGCTAAAATTCAAACTCAATAAGTGGAAAGAAGAACGCAAAAGAGGAACTCAAAAGAACGCCAAGTTGTGCGCGATGCCCCTCAGAAACTCGGCTGTCGGCACATTTGGAAATGACTCAACTACCGTGCGCAACCGCTGGTCAAGCTTGACATAGCGCTCTCTGCGTTTAGGGCCGTTTTCACCAGCAACTATTCGCTCGAGTTTCTCCACCGTACTTCGCTGCTCTTTAACCAAACTCTCGATGCAGGTCCAGATTGTAGGATGGTGACAGTTCACCACTGCAGCGAAGCGACGATGCCAGGCTTCTGTGTGTTCCATCGGCTGTGCGTTCGCTCACGTTCCACCACTCGTGCAGAAATCGGGGAGTACGGCGTTCACCATTGGCCCTTAATGTTCCGATGTAGTACGTTTCGAGGCAGGCAGGCATAGAAGGATGGTCTAAGACCATGATTGAGAAACAGAGGGTACCAGGTTCAAGTCCTGCTTGGAAGCGGAAGGAATTTTTCCAGCCGTGCTGCGACCCACAGTTAATTTGGAACTCGTGGCCTGGCACGAGGGTAACATGGATGCAGCTAATGGGATTTCGGTCTTTGACCACTTGGTGGTGGGTCTGATCTACTCACCTTCCGCCGTTTAGGCGCTGCATCTGCGCCTTTGATCCTAGAGGGTGGTGGCGTTCCCACGGCGGATGCAGAAAACTCGGCTTCCAGCCGAGTCTCACGCGAACCGTAAATTTTTTTATTTTTATTTTTTAGTACGTTTCGAAATACGTCAGTACTTCATCCGCTTCAGGAGGGAAGTCGGCCTCCAATATCTCGAAGCACCTGTACTACGTCTAGTGTGGGAGCGAATGCCAGAGCAGCGATCGACTTTAGCTTCAGTGCAAACTCCGCGTCTTGGCCATAGCGAACTGCGAGACCCGCACCTTGTATATGTTTAAATATATTTGGAGATAAATGGAAGTAGCATCCATG